CAAGTCGAGGCTGCGGTGGCCAGAAGCGGCCACTGCACTCCAGTCTGGGTAACAGAGTGAGACTCCAACTCAAGAAAAAAAAAAAAAAAAGATACTTTACTAGTCTATAAAGAGAACTTTGAAATCACAAAGCCAGTTTTAAGTTTTAACATTACAATTCTCAGAAATAAATTTAAAAGATGATCAAGGCTTGCTTTTATATCCAACAAGATAATCATGGCTCAAATTAATAAAATCTGTCTTACCTGTTCATACGAACTTGTGTAGCAATTCTGTCAAAACACAACGCCACTAGGGAAACATGAGTAACACTCCTACCAGGAGCTGTAGTTGTAGACTCTTCCACTGAGGCTTGTAATAAACATAAGTTTATCTAACACAAAAAAATATCAGAAATTTCAGAATTGAAAAGTGGAAAGTTGTCACTTAAACATAAAATACACAAGATAATGGAAAACTACTATTAAGAATGGCATATCTACATATCTGAGAGTGATTAAGACAAAGTTTATAAACACAGACTCATAAAAATCATAATTAAATCTTTACTAGATGAATGTGTAACATTTTATTAATATCTAGTATTCTACATAAGTAAACTATTACATTAAATATATATTAGATCAGCATGGAAATAAAGTATATATTTTTAAATATTACACATTTTTCTACTACTGTTCACTTTTGTAAATACAGAGGATAAAATTCACCAAAATGCTCTCCTCTTTCAGGAAAAATGTTTTAAAATATGAAATCGTTACCTTTGGTATGCTAACATTAGTCTGAAGACCTTTAATTGTTACATTATCTTGCTTCATTGTAAGATTTGTCTGTGCTTGTCCTTGGTTAGTGGTTCCTATTGTAGGGTGCTCAGTTTTTGTTCCTTGAACGTCTTGTTTGGAAGATAACTAAAAAGATTGAAAGAGGAATTATTTCACAAGCCTTTCATCATCCACAACAGCAACTTGCTTATTCACTGTGTCCTTCTATACCCATCTATGTACCAGCAGTCATGTGGATTAACCTCCCATCTTAAGATTCAAATTTTAGCCAGGCTCGGTGGCTCAGCCTGTAATCCCAGGGCTTTGGGAGGGTGAGGTGAGTGGATTGTCTGAGCCCATGGGTTCAAGACCCACCCAGGCAACTTGGCGAGACCTCATCTCTACAATAAATAAAAAATTAGCAGGGCGTGGTAATGTGTGCCTGTAGTTCCAGCTACTTGGAAGGCTGAGGTGGAAGGATCGCTGGAGCACAGCAGGTTGAGGCTGCAGTGGCCGGGAGTGTGCCACTGTACTCCAGTCCGGGCAAGAGTGAGACTCCAACTCAAAAAAAAAAAAAAAAAAAATTTGAATCTTAGAAAAACTAAGAAATAGACTAGTAGCTTCAGGGTTGAGAAAAGTAATACACATTAAAGTGAAATCAATGTATTTAAAAAAAAAACAAAAAATAGTAATAGTAATTATAACTGGTTCCTTACTGGTTAGGAATATTTTCAAAAAATTTTTTTTAATTCATCTATCCTAACTACCTATGACATTAAATGTCAATACATATTAAATAATTGGTTCACTAAAAATAATCACCCTCACTTTCACCTCTCCTCTGGTCCCTAGTCCAAATAGAATCCAGGTAACTCTGAATATCAAATGGAGAATCACCAGAAAACCACAAGGATATGACTACCAAGCAACAGGTTGTATAGCCAGAACCACAGCATATTGAAAATATCACACAACAGGGGAAAATGAATTGATTCAGTGAAGTAAGCAGGAATAATCTAAAAAATAATATTGAAATACAAGTAATCTAATCATAGGGGAAAGTCAAAAAACAAGCAGTTTTGTTTTCTTAGAAACAGTAAGGTATGAGTTTTAAAGAATGTTCACTCACTAAAGGTCAAATCTCTTTAGAAAAGCCTTGAAACTAAGCTACTTTTGAAATAAAAGAAAAAATAAAGCTATATTTTTTATTTATTTTTAATTTTTTATTTTTTTGAGTTGGAATCTCACTCAGTTGTCGAGACTGGAGTGCGGTGGCTGCTCCCGGTATACTTTTTAAATAAATTATTTTTTATTACTATTCAATCCACAGTACAGTTATATATGCTATCTTTTATGCAGCCAACAATATATAAAGGCTTTTAGAACTTGTCCATATATTCCAATTTAACTTGTAAAAATTTTGAAACATTCCGGTTTTTTCAAGTTTGGACATTCTGTACACACGTGAATACTCAATCTGCTATGCCTACTGAATAAAAAAGTTCTTACATTTTCTGAGAAAGTAGTCTTGCTATTTTGCACAGCTTCCCTAAGGACTTTAGCATGGAGGTCATCTACAATTGCAGCTGGATGTCGGGTACTAGCACAATGAACCATCGCTTCAATATACCTGAGGGGGAAAAAAACAGCAAATAAAAAACTTATATACCACTAATCCTAGATCTAGTTTATGTAAACACATTAGTGAAATTTAGCACGCATTGAATATGTACAACAATTTCTCAACATTGAAATGAGAACACCTAGTCACACTTTGAGAAATTACACAAGGAAAACACTTTTGAAATTGTATCCCCAACATTACCACCCGACTCCAAGATGAACGTTCCAGATTAGGCAGTAGTTTTTTCTTGTACCAACTCCTGAAGATGATTTCCTATGTTCTTCACTTGAATGACATCTCATAAGAATTTTAACAATATAAGTTTTCAAATAAAACGATGTACCTTTGCAGTAAAAGGAAGACTTTCATGAAAATTGGTCCCCACTGAGCCCCTTTTCTCTTCTCAATGCCTTCCTCACTACTTTCATTATGTTCCAGTCTCATTTTTATTCATCTTAGCTTTATCGCCCTAGATAGACTATAAGCTCCTTCCAAGACAAAGTATCTTATTATTTCCTCCTTATCCCTTTATTAACTAGATAGTAGTGAGACTATGAAACACAATAATTAGTTACTGAGTATTAAATCATTTTATGCTCATTAGCCCAGGGAGCAAAAAATAGAAATTATATTTACAATATAATTATTATAATAATGTAATGTACAGTTGGTTTTCCATATCTGCAGGTTTAATATCTACATGTTCAACCAACCATGAATTAAAAATACAATATGCAAAATTGGGATGCAGAACCCATGGATACAAAGGAATCCAACTTTTTGTATCTATCTGTGGGTTCTACAGGGCCAACTCCAGAACCTGAGCATCTGCAGAGGTTGGTATCCATGGAGGTCCTAGAATCAATCCACCACAGATACAGAAGGATGATTAATTATTTAGGCTCAGAAAGTAATAAATAATAACTAACTAAAACACAGACCTCTTCAAATATATTTTCATTGTTATTCTATCAGAACAGTTACCAACAATTTTCTATATGAACATATTATATCACACACACTTATCATGTCACATATATTTATCATTTTATAAAGCAATGGTATTTTTAGATGAAATCAATACCTGTCTAAAGCTTCAGCCACCAGGGGAGTCAAAACAATATCCACAGTTCCCTTTACTTCAACTATGGCTGTTGTCTTGGTCTGAGAGACTGGTTGATCCAGGGTCCACTCTTCTGTTAATGTTTCATCATCAGTGTTATCAACGACTTTCTTTTCTAGTGGAGTATATGGTGTACTATACAATTAACCAAGTAAAGCATATATTAAAAAAAACCGTGAACAAGAATAAAAGTTGGAGCTTCCTTAAGCTGAGTGAACACATACATTTACTTCAACTAAAAATTCCATGAATTTCTTGATGTTTTATGTCTCATTTTCAAAGACAGGCCAAAAGAGGTACTAAAATGCAAACTAATCCAAGATGGCCAATACATCTAATGAGAAAATTTTTTTGATAAACTTACCTGATGGACCATTTGGAAAATATGAAAAGTACAATACTGAATTCTTATTAGCCCTCAATTTTGATATGCCAAGTTATGGCTTACACAGTATGTTTAAACAGAAATGATACCAACTGCTTATAAAGGTAGCCAAAGCCACAGCAGACAAAAGAGCTAAGTTATTTTGGTTAATTTATTTTTAAAGTCCACACTCAAAGAATGGTTATTACTCACAGTAAACTCTACCTCTCTCATAATCAAGAAAGATTGGCTTTAAACTTTAAAAACATGCTAGTCTTACTTACTTTGAAGTTGATCCTGAAAGTTGCATGCCTCTGTCTAGCAAAGAATTGGCTGTGAGCCCCTGCTTGATAACCTAAAATACAAAATATTATAGTATAGAATTTTAATATTATTTCTCATTTTTTGATATCAACCAATATTTGTGAATATCCAAGTTACTTTGTTGATATGATTTAATAGAAAAAAATAACGTTTTTACCTCCTATGTTACTTTTACTATGTTTTTTCCCCTAACCACACCAGCCTCTGGTACCTACCATTTTACTCTCTACTGCAATGAGATCAACTTGCTCAGATTCCACAGATGACACCTTGAGTTATTTGTCTCTCTGTGCCTGACTTATTTCACTTAATACTGCCCACCGTCTTCATCCATATTGTCACAAATGACAGAATTTCCTTCTTTCTTATAACTGAATAATATTCAATTGTGCATATATATACTACATTTTCTTAATCTATATATTCAGTAACAGACATTTAGGTTGAATCCATATATTGACTATTGGGAATAGTGCTGCAATGAACACAGGATGCAGATATCACTTCAATGTACTATATTAACTGCCTTTGGACATGTACCAGATAATGGGATTAGTGGATATGGTAATTCTATTTTTAATTTTTTGAGAAACCTACATATACTTTTTCATAATGGCTCTACTAATTTACATTCTCAGCAACAGTGCATAAGGGTTCCCTTTCCTCCACATCCTTGCCAAAGCTTGTTATCTTTTGTCTTTTTGATAATAGCCACTCTATTCAATGCTCTGTTTTTGAAGTTGTCTAAAGATATTAATTTCTTGACCTATCTTCTCCAGAGATTTGACTTCCTAATGAAACTGGAAAGATTTATTTAAAATACTGAAATAATTCTATCCTCTCAGGTACTATTCTGCATACCAAATACCATTCTGTTCCACACTGGAAAATTCATATACCAACATACTTCCACATGGAATAAAGGGAATACTTTGAAATCTTAGCACAGGTAATATAAGAAATGAGCACAGCCTTAAAACCAAAATTCTCGACTGCCACTAATGTTTCCTCTTCAATACTTATTATTCAAATACCTACATAGTACAACTATAGACTACTGCAACAGCCTCCCAAGCAATCTCCCAATTCTCTCTTGCTTAATGACAATTCAGTTCCACTTAGTAGCCAAGAACATGAGATCACATCACATTTCCTTAAAGCTCTCAAAAGTTAATAAGTTAAATGACATTAAAATAAAATCAAACTCTTGATCCATGTTCTGTAAGTCCTGAGTGATCTTGCCCTCATTAGGTAACCAGCCTCATCAAGAGCAGTCTAGCTGCTCATTATTTCTCAGGCACACTGACCTCTTTCCCTCTTCAAGACTATCGGAAGGCTGTTGCCTCTGCCTGAAACGCAGTGCTCCTGGGTCCACCAACCTCAATTCCTCCTCATTCTTCAAGTTTCATTTTAAATATTGCCTCCTCAGCTGGATCTTCCCTGTCAATACAATCTAGGTAGCCCCAGTCCCCATTATTTCTCTATCCCAATATTCTTTGATTGTCTGTCTTTCAGCTACATGTCTGCTTCCCTCACCACTATACATCAAATACTTGGCACACAGTGGTAGTAATAAATATCTGAAATAAAAATGATTGAATTAACATTTAAATACTTTAAATAAGTACAATAAATGTATACACACATATATGTATCTAAGCATGTGCATATATAGTATGTATACATATGTATATACTACATAAGATTCCCGAACATTATTAATCAGTTCCATAAGAGTTTATGCTTAATCTTATGCTTAACTGTAATCTTTAACATCACAAAAAGTTTGTTTCATAATTTATCATTTTAAAAATAGAGCTTTCATGTTAGCTATTACCACTAAATTTATTTTGAGATTTTTTTTTTTAGCAAACCTAACAAAGCTATTTTCAGAAATGCCCAATAACCAAATTCATACTAAATTATAAGAACTCAATTGTCAAGTGAGTGAAATTAGCTTTCCATAGAAGCAGTTATGAATTAGCAGAAAGAACACTAAATATTAAAAACAACTTCAGAATTTTATTTTTAAGACAGAAAGTATGACTTCACAGAGACTTTATCCTACTTGTACAGTATAATGCAGACACAGAATGTGTTAATTGACTAGACTGGTGTAGTAACAATCAAGCCTTAATCATTCCTCAATTTAATTTGCTTAAATTTGTAATACTCATCAATAATCCTGAGCCCTAATTCTGTGTATGTGTGCATACGCACATATATAAAGTATGTATACAAAGCCATTACTGTATGTGTGTGTGCATGTGTGTGTATATATATGTGTATGTGTATGTGTGTGTATATATATATGTGTGTGTGTATGTGTGTGTATATGTGTGTGTGTGTGTGTGTGTGTGTGTGTGTGTGTGTGTGTGTATCTGTATGCACATAAAGCCATGACTTCAGAAACTATGTCTTTCAGAAAGGTAGCTAAATGCATGAGGGTAATTTTGAAAACAATTTTTTAAAAATCCAGTTTTCTAAATAAATGTATCAGTAGAAACTAATGATCTGGTTTATACCTTAAAAGTTGGAACTGAAAGCTGTTCAAATGATGATGAACTTTCTTCACTGGTGGGTGTATCCAGATCAAGGGGACGATGTAATGAGGACTTAGAGGTTCTTTTGTTGGCTGGGTGCTTAACTGACCAATTAATCACCTGGAACTGGGTAAGGTAAGTTTGATAACAATTCATCACAGGTTGTTGGGAAGTAATCTGTTCGCTCTCTGCTGTCTTCTCACCTTCCACAATATATAGATGTTCTATAACATCATCTTCTCCACCCAATGCAGAAACAAATGAAGCCTGAGACGGATGGGTTTTGAACGGCAGAGTTCGGGAATCCTGAATGCTTTCTCCATGGCCAGTAAGTGGTCCTTCTACACTGTGATATATGGAACCCCTACTGTAGTCAATCTGCTGAGTTTGCTTTTTCTTCTTTTTTCTACCTGGATAAGTTCCAGGACCTTCATCACTGCTAATGGGCTCAAATTCCTCAGCTGCAGAAAAGTAGGCTTCACTATCAGCCATGGACATGCTGGAATCCATTGATCGATACTGATGAAATGAATTGGAGTCTGCTGATGGTGTGTATGGGAAGGAACCAAAACTTCTCCTCTGTTTTGGTGAGTCTAATACATTCTCATCACTTCGAGAGACATCACTGCTGAACTGTACTCCAACTGTGACAGGCTGCTTGTCCCCATAGAAAGCAGCCGTGAGACTCTTAGTACTTCCAAGTCGAGTGGAACAGACAGAAGCTTGTCGTTTCAAGGGAGATCTAAGAGGAGATTGACCTACTGACTTATCCTGAGTATTAGGAGACACAGGGCTATTTCCTGAAATTTCTGTAGGAATACTAAAACAGAAAGCAATGCTATTACCATTTTCCATATATCATATGACTTAAGCATAAACACAAGTACCTATATAAATCCTTATAGTAATTTTAATCATTTATTTCACAAATAAGACAAAATGTAAAATGTTACAATATCCACTCAAAGTAGCAAAACAGCATAATATATGTTCATATACCCTATAGAGTTAAAAAAAAATTTAAGTGAGCTTATAACACAATAAAATTTAAAGAAACGCAGAAAATAATCTTCAATCCATAATCCATTGGCACTAGTGTATCCACAAGAAGCTTTATTTTTTAATATCCTCTAAAACCATGTCCATACCAGGGACCTTTGAAAAAAGGAGACGGAAGTAGTAGTAGTAGTCACAGATAACCCCAATATTTCTGACTTCTGCAACTGATGCACTAGTGCCATTTACAGAGGCAGAACAAGTTGAAAAGGACAGGATTAAGGCCATTTTTAATATGCTGAGTGTCAAGCCTTCATGAAACATCCAAGTAGAAATATCAAGAAGGTAGCTAGGCTTGAATTGCAGAGACAAGTTTTGGCTAGAGTTTTACATTTAAAAGATGTTAGCTAACGAGCATAACTGAAGCCAAATAACTACTGAGACTGTCTAAAGAAATGGTGTAGAATGAATGGAGAAAAAGGTGCAGAATGAAGTCCAAAGAAATAACAACATTCAACAAATGGCAACCTGTAAGAGGAAGAAAAAGAAAGGAAGGAAGGAAATGGAGACCGAGAAGGAATGGCCAAGGAAGTGGGAGGAAATCCTGAAATGTGCCACCAGGCCAAGAGGAAAGCGTACTTCAAGAAGGAAATGGCCAATTATAAAGGGCTACGAGGAGGACCAAAAAATATCCACTAAACCAAAAGGGTAACAGGGGGCTGTCTACAATAATTCGCTCTGAGTGGTGGAATGACAAGAAACATTTATTTTTGTTATGCTTTCCTGTATTTTCTTCATATCTGGAATGAATATATATGTATTATTTTTGGATTCAGAGAAACAAGAGCAAACTGACATTTCAAAATATATTCAGGTATAGGAAAAAATTTTCTAAAGTGGGGAAGTGAAGAGGAAAGAAGTTTTTCTTGCCACAATTTTAAAAAATTATAGTCCTATTATAATCAGGTTTCTAAATCTACTTTGAATACTGACCTCACTTGTCCATCATCTCTTTTTGTACCATGCATGAACTCTTTTTGAACCAAATGGTCATCAGCAACGGAAGAGGGACTTTCCTTTTCACTGGCCAACAAAGGCTGTGCAGCACTAGAACTGCTATTCTCTTCTGAAGAAGAGGATGAACTGTGAGATCGTAATGGAACTTGAAGACTGAGGTGCTGAGTTTTCCTCTCTACTTCTATTCCCACTGTTTTGTTCTCCCAGTCTTTCCTCTTCATGCCATTCATGTTACCTAAACAAATAAAAAGTTGGGTTAAATGAGCATAACAATTTCAAAAACAATTTATGAAAAATCTGACATTTTAATTTTGCTTTTAGTATAATCATTTTTAATAAGCCCAGATCTCGAAGTCCACATAACAATATGTCAAACACTATAGAAAGATAGCTATATAAGTATGAATCCAAAGTCCATAAACAGTGAAATTTTTCCTATAAAATCTTTTATTTGATATATGTGCTGCTAAAGTGAGCACTATAGTCTTTTATTTGAAAATTCTGAAACGTACAGAAAACTTTCAAGAATAAAACAAAGAAAAAGATGTTTTCTTTTACTCATATTTATTTTAAACATTTTGCCCCACTTGCTCTAAAAGTTCAATGAGCCGGGACTTTATCATTTTTCATTCACCAATGTTCTTCCAATGCCCAGAACAATGCCTCAGACACAGGAAGCACTCAATAAATGGTTCTGTGAATGAATAAATAATGACTTCATGGTCAGAGTGGCATACCACTGTTTGCACCACTGTTTCAGAGTTTCATAAAGAGTCTTGTTATGTATTATATAATCTGGAGAGAAGGCAGGAACAAAAGGAGAAATTTATGGCTGCCTTGATCCAAAAAGTAACTCTTGCTCAACATCTCCTCTCCTCCAGCCATCTCTGTGCTACCCAAGGAAAAGGAACCTGCTAGTGGAGAAAACACCTCCCTGAACAGAATGCTGCTCAAATGAAATTCAAGGAGTAAGAAAACTTACGATCTTGCAATATAACATTATTTATTTTTAATACCACAGATGTAAAATAGAACAACAGAAGTCAAAAGAAAAATGAGTTTGATTCACTTCTAAATGATATAGGAACCCAGTGTTCACTGGCCTTCCAAGTAGATCCTTAATTCTACCAATATGCCCTCCTAGATTCTATCCTGACACTGCATGCATATTCAATTCCTAGAAGACTCAACAATCAGAAACTCAGATATTTATGTAGGGGTTAATTCCAATCTTCCCTGGAAAGGAAACTTATGGCAATTTAGTAATTACAACTCACTACTGACAGAATTGACAAGAGGTATTGATACTTCCTATTACATATTATAATTATAATTAGCTTTACTTTGTTATATGTTTCAAGAGAATTTATTATTTTTCCCCATTCTACCATGTATAAATTCCTGGCAGATTTTCTCCCTTGAGCTACAGATGGTTAAGTTTTGAAAACCAAGCAGATTTTATCATTGGTATAGCTGTAGTACAGTAGAAAAAACACCAATGTGGCTTCCATAGCCCCGATTCTAGTTTCTGCTCAGTCATACTTGGCTGTATTACTTTGTACAACTCAGTCTCAGTAATAAGCTTCCGTTTCCTCACTATAAAACAGATAATACCCACCTCATATGGTAGCTTGGGGATTAAATGAGAAATTGCCAGAGTAAACCTTTAAAAATAAACATTATTCAAATAGAAAAAAGCACTATAAGACAGATAAATTACAGGCATCTATATTATCCTTTACATGCCAAGAAGTTGTGGTGTTTGCTTTATTTTATAAGATAATCTTCTCTTGTTCTAGCAAAACAACTAAAGTAAAATTACCTTAAAATAACACGTACACATTTATATATTACTATTCAATAAAAAAAGCATTTAAACAGGAAGAAATTTAAAGTATGTGGCCAGTTCTTTCCTCTGAGAGTTCCTATACACAGGAAATCAATCTGATAAATTCTTAAGATTAAAACAACTCCTTCCTATCTTTTTGGGTTTTTTTTTGACTACTGACAAAAGGCGGAGCTAAATTAACATTTTTAAATGGATGAAGGGAAAAAGGCTAAATATTGGTGAAATATCGAGACTTTTCTACATTTCACACCTTTTACAGCATGGCAACTTAAGTAGTAAGTATTGTACTTAATTGTAGAAGCACACAACTAGAAAATCCATTTCTGAAGTCTTTGGAAAAAAGATACTAGATAAATCTAAATCTAATAAAATTAAAGTCACCCTTCATCACTCATACCAAACTGGTGTATCTGCAGTTATTCTAAAGACTCTAAGGAAAGATCAAATTTCTCTTCTTGAATGTTTAATTTTATTGTTAAGGAAAATATTTTGCAAAGGCAGTTGGTAACATGGGTGCCAATAGTATAAATAATATTATTCATAAGTGTTCCTATAAAAATAAGTTTGGTAAAACAACTGTTACCGTGAAGTACAGCTATTCCTACGTATATCTCTGGAAGCTGGGTTATAGTAAAATAACAATATATAAGGAAATATTCAGAGGAAGCTTTGAGAGGAAAGCCATTCATGTCCACAACAGAAGGTCTGAACAGCAGACCTACTTACATTCTATATAACTCTGAAAATACCACTAGTCTTATCTGGCTTTAGTTAAGTCATGTGCAAAACTAAGGTGGATTATACTAAACCCTATCCACAAGACTACTCAAAAACTAACTGAGATGATAGAGTAACCCTGAACTTTTTTCAGAATAATATAGGAATGAAAACAATAAAAGATTAGCACAAATAATAACACATTTTATTACCATCTATAATTTTGGGAATTTCTTTAGTAATAATCCATTCTCCAGGCTGTAGCAGAGATTGTCCATAATACATATCAGACTCCGCACTCGTGCTTGAAAATGCAGAGCTACTGGAAGGGGTCAACTCTTCAAGCTTGAAGAAATCTAGGCCAGTTACTGTGCCACCAAAAAATCTGCAGCCACCAAGACAACCACATTTGTTTCTACACCTCTTATTCTTCAAGATGTCGTCTGGCCACAAAAACCACAACCTAAACAGAACCCAAAACAAAAAAAAAACAGTAAATTTGAAAAACTCATTAAGAAATAAAAAAACTTTTTGGCAGATAATTAAATACAAGATGATTGTTAATACTGTAAAAGAAAAAGTTAACACAATACAAAGGTTTATTCCATCGGCAGTAGGTCTTTTTAATCGTTTTGCTTTAAAAAAAATAAAAACAGGTTTACCACAGTGAGATGGAAATATGAAGAAATTATTGTTATAGAGATACAGCATACATTTAAAAAACCAACACATTAAAATGCAGCATATAAAAAGCAGGCTCTTAAATCCAGCTTTAAAACAGTACTAAACAGTCTCATAAAGACTAAAATTTTGAAACATTTATCTAAAAAGGGACAAAACAATGAGTATAAGTTATGCTTATGAGATAACTCCTATACTCTTAGCATTTCAGTGTCTTTAGCATTTCAGGGCCTATTTTATACTGCAAATTTGATATATAAAAAATTTACAAATACGGAGCATGTAAAAATATTTTTCTCAATATAACAAAATAATGAGCAATTCTATATTTTAGAGAAAAGCAACTAGCCAGTTCCACTCCCTTGTAATAAGGACTATGAATACAGTATTAAGAATGTATGTAAACTACAGGTACTGTAATAAATGACTCACGGATCTGTTAGTACTTAATGAATTCTCCTTTCATAAAAAGTATTGTATAATAAAAATCTGTGAAATATATCTTTATTCACTCTTTTACCTTAGATAACAAAATAATCTCATATTTGCAGTCCATTTTTCTAAGCATTTGCACATGTATTATCTCATGACCCTCACAGGAAGACAGAACAGGTTCTACCACCTTCATTTCACATTCATTAATTATATTTCTTGAACATGTCTATTAAGTGCCTCATTTTATGCTAGGCAAAATTGACACAATCCTTATCAATATGAAATTTACAATACAGAGGAAAACATGGGCCAAAAACAAGAAAATAAAACCTAATCATATACAGGGAGTTGTGGCAAATAAAATAGAGGGAAACTTAAAAAGTAACATGTGAGGGTAACCCCTTCAGGTCCCCTCCCACTGTGGGAGCTTTTCTGTCCTCTCAATAAATACTGCTTTATAAAAAAAAAAGTAACATTTGAGCTGTGAAAGATGAGGTGGAATGAAAATGTTAAACTAGAAGTTGAAACATCAGGCTGGGCTTGGTGGCTCAACCTGTAATCTTAGCACTTTGGGAGGCCGAGGTGAATGGATTGCCTGAGCCGGTGGTTCAAGACCAGCCTGGGCAACTTGGCGAGACCTGTCTCTAAAATAAATAAAAAATTAGCCAGGCATGGTAGTGCACGCCTGTAGTTCCGGCTACTTGGAAGGCTGAGGTAGAAGGTTCACTGGAGCCCAGCTGGTTGACGCTGGGGTGACCATGAGTGTGTCACAGCACTCCAACCTGGGTGACGGAGTGAGACTTCAACTCAAAAAAAAAAAAAAAAAGAAATTGAAACATCAATCATAAGGAAGACATAAGGAAAAATGTATGAAAATGCCTTAAGGGAGAGTTTGAGGTTACTTCAATTAGAAACTATCGATTTCAAATCACTTCTGTATTTTAAAGCAGTAAGTCATGCAGCAAAAATCCTTAAAACATTATCAAAATAAAAGATCTTATATACACAGTAGATATTTTTTAACTTCATTTGTGCAGCAAAGGCTTAGGAGAATGCATGGCTTTGGAGAGAGCCAGACCTGAGTTCAAATTCTAGTTGTACCACTTACTAACTCTAAAGCTTCATGCAAGTTAACTAACATCTCTGAGTATGGCTTTGGAATCCTCTAGGTCTGAGTTCAAATTCTAGCTGTGGCAGTTACTAACTCTAGAGTCTCAGACTAGTTAGTTAACATCTTTGAGTCTGGCTCTGGAGTCCTCTAGACCTGAGTTCAAATTCTAGCTGGGTCACTTACTAATTCTAGCGCTTCGGGCAAGTTTTCACATCTGTAAAATGATAGCTTGATATATCTAATAAGATGGTTGTGAGAATCAAGTGGTATAGCACATTTAGAGTACCTGGTACAAATTCTGGAATACAGAAGTTACACAACAAATATTAGTTCCCTTTCTCTATCTTCATATAATCCAATACACTAATTCTCAAACTTCAGCTTGCACAAAATCACCTGAAGGGCTTGTCAAACTAGGTGTAGTTGGGCTCGTCCCCCAGAGTTTCTGATAGAGATCTGGGAAGGCCTGAGAATATTAATGTCTAACAAGTTCCAAGGAGATGTTGATGCTGGTGGCTTGGTTTTTTAAGAAACATTAATCTAATGAAATTAATGGCCTATATATCTAGTAGCTTTTCTAGTAATATTAGGAATGAAAATATCTGTGCCCCCAAGCTTCTGGGACTCAATGCATATGAACAAAGGCATCACAGAGAGGCAATTCACCATGGACCCTAAGAATCCCTACATGTTTTTGCTGAGTATGCCAAAAATGCACGGCTCTGTCCAGGCCATTTCTCAGGACTGTGTTTGGAACATGTAACCCTGAGGTTTAAGGTAATGTTTCATCCTAGAAAAGAGCAGGCTTGCTTTCACTTGCTATGAATACCACATCCTATGGTAAGACTCTCTAAACTCAGTGTTTATTTTCTAAATATAATTCATTTTGAGCAGCTATCCATCACACATGAGCCTTTTTGTCACCTCCTACAGGACTCAGCGACAGAATTGCCACATTTAGCCAATAAAAATAACTGTGTCCAATGCATTATATGGAACATTTTTGTTATTTATCTGAAAGTCGAATTTAACAGGGCATTCTGCATTTTATCTGGCAATCCTACTTGGGGCAGGAGGAACCAATGCAAACATATGACTTTAGCTACTGCTTTTGCAGTGAGTAATATAGTCTCCGATCAGTTTTGTGTCTTCTGTTAGCATCCATGAAATTGTGATAGGCTAACTTGTTAACTTGCAAGAAGCATAAAAATCCCAGACTCTTTACAATTCTTGACCAAACAAGAGCATTGAAACCAACCTAAATGAGCCATATGGAGCAACCTAAGTCAGCAGAGATCAGTTTCTTCGCTCCATTAGCACCTTCTTGCACCACTTAACCTAATCAGAGACAGGCATTTCAGTTCATACTAACTAGCTTCCTGAGATATAATCAACAAAAAAGCCTATTTATTTTAAACAACATTCTCCACACATAAGCTTTCATACTCAGATTTATAAGACATTGAGTCTCCCTAGTTTAACTTAAAATATTAGTGCAGGGCCAGGCTCGGTGGCTCAGCCTGTAATCCCGCGCCTTTGGGAGGCTGAGGTGAGTGGATTGCCTGAGCCCGCGGGTTCGAGACCCTCCTGGGCAGTGAGACCTCATCTCTACAATAAATCAAAGAATCAGCCGGGTGTGGTAGCGCGCCCCTGTAATTCCAGCTACTTGGAAGGCTGAGGCGGAAGGATCGCCAGAGCCCAGCAGGTCGAGGCTGCGGTGGCCAGGAGCGGCCACTGCACTCCAGTCTGGGCAACAGAGTGAGACTCCAACTCAAAAAAAAAATTAGTGCAATCTCAATAAGAAGTTCAACAGGATTTTGTTTCTTAAATTAGAAAAACAGTTCTCAAGTTCTTGTGAGAAAGTTAACAGATGAAAATAATATTCTGTAAAATGGGAAAATGAACAGTTTTCCCTTTGTATTTAAATAGGTATTTGTAGAAAAATTTATTTACCTCCTTACCTGGATTAATACACACATTCTCTCTTCTCTCTCTCTCTCTTGCTCTCACTCTCGCTCTCTCTCTTGCACGTGCGCGCGCACACACACACACACACACACACACACACACACACACACACACCCCATATGAAATCCATATGGATTTGAGTTTTATATAACAAAAAAAGAATAAAATAAGAAAATGTAGGTGCAATTTATCAGCAATAATTTTTTTTCTCAAATTAGTACAAGAAATTACAAAGAGAAAGACTGACATGTTTGAACACATAAAATTAACATATGTATGTGATAATAAAACCAAATCTAGAAGATGAAACAAACGCAAAATACTAGCAACAGGAATCACAAAACAGGTGGTAACCCATAAAGACCTCTTAAAACTGGTAAGAAAAACACACAGGTGGTAACCCATAAAGACCTCTTAAAACTGGTAAGAAAAACACCAAACCCCCAATAAATAAATGTGTGTAGCATACAAACAGGTAATTCAAAATGAGGAAATCAGCTAATAAATATATTTGGTATTAACCTCAGAAATAAATAAATGAAAAATGAAGAGATGTCACCTTTCAGTTACCATAAAACATCCAAAATGTATCAAAAATATAATGAGACAGGGACTCTCTACACAGACACGGGGGATATAAACTGAAATATAATATCTGTGAATTAATTTGGGAATGCATATCAAAAGTTTCAATTTTTAAAATTTATTTTTTTATTTTAAAGATGTGGGGTACAATTCAAGGTTAAGTTTACAAACATTGATTATGCAGGTACCCTTGTTGATGAGGTGTGCCCCTCCCTCCCTTAGCAGTTTCCCTTAGCTGCCAATCCCAACCCCCCTCCTCTGGCAGTTTCCCATTATGCCAATCCCTTTCTTACAGTATTATGATAACTGTTCAAGGTTCACTTATGAGTAAGAACATATGGTATTCTGTTCTTTGTTTCTGTGATAGATCACTGAGTACGATAGACTCTAAATCCATCCAAGTTGCTGTGAAGTTCATATTTGTCCTTCTTTATGGCTGCATAATATTCCATTGTGTATACGCACATTTTCTTTGTCCAGTCCAGCTTTGATGGGAAACATGTTTTTGCTATGGTGAATAGAGCTACAACAAACATACATGTGCAGGTATCTTTTTTGTAGAATGATTTGAGTTTCTCCAGGTACATTCTCAATAGGGAAATTGCTGGGTCATATGGAAGGTCGTTTTCTATTATTTTCATATACCATCACAGTCTTCCAAAGAGGTTGCACTAGTTTGCATTCCCACCAGCAGTGTAGAAGTCTTCCTATTTCTCCACATCCTTGCCAGCATCTGTTGTTTGTTATATTAATGATGGCTATTCTTACTTGGGCTAGGTAGTATCTCAATGTGGTTTTGATTTGCATTTCTCTGATGATGAGTGAGGTTGAGCACTTTGTCATGTGTCTGTTGCCTGCCTGTATATCTTCTTATATGAAGTGTCTATTCATGTCTTTTGCCCACTTTTTAATGTGGCTGTTTGTTTTTTTCCTTTCAGCATATTTGAGCTCCTTGTAGATCCTAGATGTTAGGCCTTTGTCAGATATACCTTTGGCAAATATTTTTTCCCATTCTGTGAGCTGTCTCCCTGCTTTCTTGATGGTTTCTTTTGCTTTGCAGAAACTTGTCGGTTTGATGAAGTCCCACTTGTCTATCTTATTTCTTATGGTATGGGCACTTAGAGTTTGGGTCAGGAATTGGTTGCCAGTTCCAATTTCCCTAAGAGTGTCTCCTGCGTTTTCTAAGATTCTTATAGTTTAAGGTTTACGTTTAGATCTTTGATTCATTTAGAGCTAATTTTTGTGTGTGGGGATAGGTAGGTGTCCTGTTTCAATCTTCTGCATATGGTCAGCCAGGTTTCCCAGCACCATTTATTGAATAGGTTCTCCTCTCCAACAGTGGCTGTTGTTGGAGGCTTTGTCAAAGATGAGTTGGTTGAGAAACTGAGGCTTTACTTCTGGAATCTCTACCCTGTTCCATTGGTCTACATGCCTAATCTTATACACAGGCTGTTTTGATTACTGGAGGCTTATAATAAAGTCTGAAGTCTGGAAGTGTGATACCTCCTGCTTTGTTTCCTTTGTTAAGGATTGTTATGGTTATTCGTGGTCGTTTACGTTTTCATATGAATTTCTGTATTGTCATTTCCAGGTCTAAAATTGATGCTGGTTATTTAATGAGTACTGCATTGAATCTGTAGATTGCCTTTAGTAGAACGGACATTTTAACAATGTTCATTCTTCCTATCCATGAGCATGGGATATTTTAAAATTTGTTTGTGCCTTCTTGGATTTCTTAGAGCAGTGTTTTATAGTTCTCATTGTAAAGGTCTTTCACTTCTCTGGTTAGGAAGATGCCAAGGAATTACATTTTTTTATTTTGTTGGTATCGTTAATAGAATTGTGCTTATTTGGGTCTCTGCCTGCTTGTTGTTGTTGTATAGGAATGCAACTGTCTTTTGCACATTTATTTTGTACCCTAATACTTGCCAAAGTCCTTTATCAGTGCAAACAGGGTTTTGACAGATTCTGTTGGATTTTCAAGGTACAGGATCGTATCATCAGCAAAGAGGGATAACCTGACTTCCTCTTTTCCTATTTGGATACCCCTGATTTCCTTCTCTGATTTAATTTCCCAAGCTAGGACTTCCAAAACAATGCTGAACAAGAGGGGTGAGAGTGGGAAGCCTTGTCCTGTTCCAGTTTTCAGGGGAAATGTTTCCAGTTTCTGTCCACTTAGCAATGTTAGCTGTGGGTTTATCGTAGATGGCACTTACTATTTTGAGGCATCCTCCTTCTATACCTAGGTGTTTGAGGGTTTTTATCAAGAAGGGATGCTGGATTTTATCAAGCATTTTCTGAATCTAATGATATAATCATGTGGTTTCTGTTTTTACATCTGTTGAGGTATTTAATTACACATATGGTGTTGCGAATGTAAGAATGTAGAACTAGCTCCGCATCCCAGGGATGAAGCCTACTTGGTCATGGTGAATGATTTTTGAGATGTGTTTTTGGACCCGATTTGCTAGAATCTTGCGAGGATTTTTGCATCTATGCTAATAAGGGATATTGGCCTGTAGTTCTCTTTTTTTTGTTGGATCTTTAGCCAGTTTGGCTATCAGTGTGATGTTAGCTTCATGAAATGATTTGGGGAGAATTCCATTTTTCTCAATGCCCTGGAATACTTTCAAGAGGATTGGTATCAGCTACTCCTTGTATGTTTTGTAGAATTCTGCTGGATAGTCATCTAGTTCAGGGCTTTTTACGGTAGGTAATTTTTGTATGACAGAGTCAATTTCCTGGGTTGTTATTGGTCTATTTAGTGTCTCAGAGTCTTCTTGTTTCAACCTGCGGAGCTTGTGTGATGTCAGAAAGTCCTCCATTTCATTTAGGTTATCAAGTTTGTTTCCACATAGGTATCCATAGTAATCTCTGATAATCTTTTGTATTTCTTTGTGGTCAGTTGTGATTTGATCTTTAGTATTTCTGATTGTGTTTATTTGGGCTTTTTCTCTCTTTCTCTTGGTCATTCTGGTTAGGGGTCCATCAATCTTGTTAATTTTTCAAAGAACCAGCTTTTTGTTTTGCTGATGTTTTCTATGATATTTGTGTCTTCTATGTCCCTTATCTAGGCTCTTATTTTGGTGATTTGGATTCTTCTGCTAAAGTTGGGGTTTTGGTGGTCTCCTCTTTCCAGCCCCCTTAGGTGATCTGTTAGGCTCTCCACTTGTGATCTTTCCATTTTCTTCATGTGTGCTCATAGAGATATAAATTCCCCTGCTTTCATAGCATCCCAGAGGTTTTGGTAAGATGTTTCTTCATTTTCATTTGTTTCCAGGAATCTTTTAATTTCTGTTTTCGTTTCACTGTTGACCCAGTAGTTGTTCAGCATTATTCTGTTTAGTGTCCATGTCTTTGTGGACTTTGGGAAAAAGTTGTTGATGCTGATATTTATTTTTATTCCTGTGGTCTGAGAAGGTGCATGGCAATATTTCAACCTTATAGAATTTTTTAATGCTTGATTTATGGCCAGGAATATGATTGATCTTGGAGTACTTTCCACATGGTGATGAGTGGAATGCATATTCTGTGGTTGTTGGGTGGAACAAACTGTAGGCATCTATTAAGTCCATTTGTTCAAGTGTCCAGTTTAGGTTCTGGATCTCCTTGATTTTTTGCCTCAATGACGTATCTAGGGCTCTTAGTGGGGTATTCAAGTCCCCTGCTATAAGTGTAAGAGTCAATATCTTTTTTTAGTTTACTTAGCAGTTGCTTTATAAATGCTGGTGCTCCTGTGTTGGGAGCATATATGTTTAGGATGAATATTTCTTGTTGATGGATTGAACCTTTTATCATTATGTTGTGTTCTTTTGTATTATTTTAAATTTTTAATAGCTTAAAGGTTGTTTTATCTGGTATTAAGATCGTGACTACTGACTTCTTTTGTGATCCATTTGCCTGGAAACTCATTTTCCATCCTTTAACTTTGAGTCTGTGTGCTTCCCTTATGGTGGGATGAGTTTCCAGGATGCAGCAAATCATTGGGTCATGGTTTCTTAAGGAGTTTGCCATTCTGTATCTTTTCAGTGGTACATTTAGTTCATTCACATTTAGGCTGATTATTGAAATGTGACTGTTTATCCCTGTCTTGCGGTTCTTATGAGGTTCTTAACCCATTGACCCACTCATATTCCCATCTAGAAAACTATTTAAAGGAAATAGCCAAAATGTGCTATTTTATGTGCAAAATGTTTACTATTATTTCTAATGGGAAATTCAGAAACAACCTAAATATTTAATATAAGGACAGTGACTAAGTAAAGTATGGTATATCTTCTTGAGGGTGTATTATCATTTGTTTAAAAGCATTTAAAAATTTTCAATCATGTGGGCAGATGCTTAGCATGTAAGTTTAATACAAACATGCAGAATTAAAAATATAAATATAGGATGATTTCAAGTACAAGAAAAATACAACAAAAACCCTGGAAAGAAATATGACAAAATTCCATGGGGTGGTGTTATGATCATTATTTTCCTTTGCTTCTTAATAGTTTCCTTTTTTTTTTTTTAAGTCAGAGTCTCACTCTATCATCCATGCTGGAATACAGTGGCATGCGCAGACTCTCTGCAGTGTGCACCTGCTGGGGTCACCCAGCTAATTTTTTGATTTTTAGTGTAGAGATGAGGTCTCACCAAATTGCCCAGGCTGGTCTCGAATCCTTGGGCTCAGGCAATCCTCTCGCCTCTACCTCAAAGTGCTGGAATTACGGTATGAGCCCCCACACCCAGCCAGTTTCCTATGTTTTTATATTAAGCATGTATTAAAACTATATAATGGGGAAAATGGGAATGGAAAAAGTTGTACTGTCATTTTTTTAAAAAGTGACTCAGTAAAGGCTCTGGCAACTTTTAAGAGACAGATATAAGCATTTCTTAAGGACTAGTGGAAATAGACCTGAGTACTCTTAGTCTTCCTTGCAGCTGCAAAGACCCATAAAAGAAGGCATTTTATACAGTATATTGTGAAAGTATAGCAGTGTCTAAGAATTATGAATTGTAAGTAAAGGGCTAGGGTGAGACAGAAAGTGTATTGCTTTACAAAATTATATTTGGGGACAAGTAATTTAAACTTGTTTCACTACTGACAAACATCATATGGACTTAGAAACATAACAGAAAATAATGTTATTCCTAGCACTTACATCATCACCAGAGATGAGAATATATATATTCATATATATCAGGTCCTTACATAATCATTGAAGTGTAGTAGCACAATCACATTAGGTCTTTATTTACAATGTTCTTATTCCAATCTTATGGTAGAATTTCCTCTACAATTATCCAGCCATTTTCAACTGAAACCGAAACTACTGGCATTCTGAAAATGTCACTTACCTCTTAGTTCTAGCATCATGAGTTTCTAAGAAATGTCTTTGTGCCTCATGTTTAGAATGATGATCAGCAGCTAATGCAATATCAACAGTAATAAGTCCTAAATTGGCTGACCCAGCTTCAAGCCAATAGGCCCTCCGCAGAACTGCAGGCTGAAGTCCAACTCTGCAATTATTCAATTGTTCAATGTACTGTCTCACTTGAAAATCCTGAATTGCAGCACTTATTCCTTCCCCAACTGATTGATTGTGGAGATTACAGTTTGCAACTCGAATAGCACCCATCTAAAGTTGAATGAAAAAAATAAAACAAAACTGTAATTTCTGTATATTAAAAGAGCTTACCCTAAAAACAATGGAGTAAGTGATCGTTTGAAATAGAGTAAAATATAGACATAAGAGAAAAGACAGGAAAGGAAGAAGAAATAGAAAGAAGAAAAGAAATGAGAAAAGAAAAATAAAAAAGGGAAACAGGCAAATAGAAACATTAAATGCAGTAACAAAAGAAAAACATACAACTTTTGTCAAAAAAAAAAGATAAAAGGAAAAGATCATAAGCCCAAAGGAAAACAAGAGAACTAAATAATGAAATCACAGAAACTTAAGAAGACTTGATTTGAAACTGCAACCTGTAAAATAAAGTGGCAAACAAATATTTTCAGGAGACAGGCAGGAAATATTAATGCACAAAAACCTAAAGCCATTCAATATCAAAACTTTAGAAAACACTACCAGTTCACATCCCTGTCATAAGAGCAACCTACTAGTTTTATATCCCTACTATAAAGCAATAATAATTTAGCGAGTAAAAAAGTGGTGAAAGTATGTCTTAAAAAAAAAGTACTAAAGAAACAGAATGCAAGACTTCCGGCAAGATGGCGATGGGGCAATTTGGTCCATGAGATCCTCTGCGAAAGGGCACACACATAATGACACTTGCTCTACCCCAGGAGCTGCAGATACCATTGTTGGCAGCCTGCTCTTCACACACTTTTGTGCAGCCTCAGCTGCCTGAGGTGTGGCAGCCACTGCTGTTGCTACCACTGCTGCCATCACCCCACCTGAGGCAACACATGGCTCCCAACCATAAAGTCCCCTCCCAAGCGTGCCTACTGAAACTACCGGCACCACTGCCACTGCCACACTCCACCCCTCACCCGGAGCCAGGCTGGTGGAGCTCCTTTCATGCACCTTGAAGTGATAGCTGCCACCGCTGCTACTGTTGCCAACTCCCTCCCGCCCACCGCTGCTACTGTTGCCAACTCCCTCCCGCACCTGGCAGTTTCCAGGTGCAGTGGGAAAAGATCAGCTGGAGCAGTGAGACCAGTTCCACCGTCTCCGCACATCTCCCAGCTTGGGATCCAAGGTAACAATAACAAAATGGGAAGGACAGAAGCTACTCCTCCTTGCTAAAAAGACACAGGTCAGATCTGAATGGCAGATTTGACAGGCAGCTCATATCTGAACCACCCTCCACAGCAGGCCAGGGGCAACTGACCCTCACTGTGAACAAAACTACCAGCCTGCAAAGACAGCTAGAAATCAGAGCTGAAAAGACAATGGACTTAAAGGAAAACTCTCAGAGTGTGCTTTGTTCCCCATTTTAATTTTTTTTAATTCTTTGTCTGTTTGTCTTACCCATCATGTTGTCTCTCTCTTCTTACTATTATCAATAATATTTTCATACCTCCTTTGTTTCTGTTAGTTTACTGACTATTCTATCCTATTTTTTTTTCTCTTTAGACCCCATCTTTGTATAGGGGAATAGCACACCAATAAGGAGGTTGGCTAGTTTATATGTTTGTAAAATTGTATGTTTTAGTATTTTTGTTTGGCTGTTGGTTTGTTTGTTGTTGTTTTTGTTTTTCTTTTTACTTGTATTGGTCTTTGTGTCTCTTTTCATTTGTTAGTCAGTACGTTTGTCTGTTTTCCCTCTTACATTGCTCTCTCTCTCCATATCCCTCTTCCCCCACTCCCTGCTCCATTCTTTTCCTTTTTGCCTCATTTTGCTTTCAGAGAATAAACCTATAACCCCACAGCATGGACAGATTCAAACGCAGTGGGAAGTGGGTTCCAGATTATCCATATACCTGTCGGCAGATACTGGGATCTGCAGAAAGATTTTGTATCACAGCTCTCCCTCAATTAAATCTCAAAACTGCAAAAAGGACCACCCCCAACCTACAGTCCAGCCCCAGAATTAAACAAAGCCAGAGGATAAACATGAGGAAGAATAGGAGATTGAACAAACAGAAGTAAAAGCAACCCCTCCGCCCCTGAACAAAAGAATTAAAGAAGAGGGGGGAGGGGGGCGGGAGGAAGAAGTAGGGAGGAAAAATCTGCACAAATGAAGAAAAACCAGAAGAAGAATATAGGTCTCACACAGACCACTGGGAGGTCAGACACTGAGAAAACAGACTTAGGAACACAAACAATGAAGAGCTCCCAGAATGACTGGTCACATACGACAAACCCAGACATCAAGACATTAACAGAATAAAAAGAATTGAGGAAAGACAAGAGGAAAATAGGAAGGAGATCATAACTGAAATAATAGCAGTAAAGAATACTATGATTGAAATAAATAACAAACTAATAAGCATGGAAAACAGAATTAACCAAGCTGAAGAAAGAATCTCAGAACTTGAAGATCAAAATACAGAACTAACCCATACTGTCAAAAACATAGAAAAGAAGCTCAAAAAGACAGAACAAAACCTTCAAGAGATGAATAATTACTTCAAGAGACTGAACCTAAGAGTAATTGGACTTCCTGAGGTAGAAAAAAAGACAGACCACACTGGAACAAACATTCCATGAAATTATTCAAGAAAACTTTCCTCATCTTATCAGTGATGCAAAAATTCAAACACAAGAGATTCAGAGAATCCCTGCAAGGCAATAAATGAGAAGACCAACTCCCAGACAATAATTTGCCTGAACAAAGTAGGTATAAAAGAAAAAACACTAAAGGCAGCAAGAGAAAAAGGTCAGATTACCTACCAGGGAAGACCAATTAGAATAGCTGCAGATTTATCTACAGAAACCCTTCAGGCTAAGAGAGCTTGGAGCCTAGTCATCAAAGTTCTCAAAGATAAACAATTTCAACCAAGAATAACCTACCCAGCCAAGCTAAGCTTCATCAGTGAGGGAGAATTAAAATCTTTCCTGACATCCGGTCCCTAAGAACTTATGCTGCCTCCAGAACACCTCTATAAGAAACACTTAAGAAAGTGTCAAACACAGAAGAAAAGGAGAAAAGAACAACAATGTTCTTCACAAGAGTACAGGGAAAAGATGGAAAACACACATTAATTAACCCCAAAACCAAAGGAAAGACAAAAAACAAACAGGGACAACAACAACTCTATAAGAACCTCATGACAGGGATAAACCCCGACACTTCAATAATTAGCCTGAATGTAAATGGACTAAATGCACCACTGAAAAGACACAAAATGATGGACTGGATAAGAAACCATGACCCCATTATTTGCTGCATCCAGGAGACTCACCTCACCTCACCTCACCTCACCTCACCTCAAGGGATGCACACAGACTCAAAGTTAAAGGATGGAAAATGTGTTTCCAGGCAAATGGATCACAAAAGAAGGTAGGAGTTGCAATCTTAACATCAGACAAAACAACCTTTAAGTTATCAAAAATTTAAAAAGATGCAAAAGGACACTACGTAATGACAAAAGGTTCAATCCATCAACAAGAAATATCCATCCTAAACATATATGCACCCAACACAGGAGCACCAGCATTTATAAAGCAACTACTAAATAAACTAAAAAAAGATAATGACTCTAACACTATTATAGCAGGAGACTTAAATACCCCACTGACAGCCCTAGATAGATCATCGAAGCAAAAAATCAACAAGGAGATCCAGAACCTAAACTTGACATTTGACCAAATGGACTTAGTTGATACCTACAGATTATTCCACCCAACAACCACAGAATATACATTCTACTCATCACTACATGGAACATACTCCAAGATCAATCACTTTCTTGGCTATACATCAAGCATAAACAAATTCCACAAGGTTAAAATCTTGTCATGCACATTCTCAGACCACAATGAAATAAAAATAAATATCAAAACCAACAACATTTCCCCAAACCCTACAAAGACATGGAAACTAAACAGCATGATCTGAACAACAACTGGGTCAACACTGAAATCAAAGAAGATATCAAAAGATTCCTGGAAACAAATGAAAATGAAGAAACATCTTACCAAAAGCTCCAGGATGCCATGAAACCAGTTTTAAGAGGGGAATTTATATCTCTATGAGCACACATCAAGAAAATGAAAAGATTACAAGTGGAGAGCCTAACAAATCACCTAAAGGAGCTAGAAAGAGAGGAGCACCAGAACCCCTCTTCTTTAGCAGAAGAGTCCAAATCACCAAAATAAGAAACAAATACGGGACATAGAGAACAAAAATATCACAAAATATCAACAAAACAAAAAACTGCTTCTTTGAAAGAATTAACAAGATTGATGGGTCCCTAGCCAGAATAACCAAGAAAAAGAGAAAAAAAGCCCTAATAAACACAATCAGAAATACAGAAGATCAAATCACAACTGATCCCGAAGAAATACAAAAGATTATCAGAGATTACTATGTATACCTGTATGGAAACAAACTTAACAACCTAAATGAAATGGAGGACTTTCTGACATCACACAACCTCCCCAGGTAAAAACAAGAAGGTGTTGAGACACTAAATAGACCAATAACAACACAGGAAATTGACTCTGTCATACAAAAACTACCTACCAAAAAAACCTGGACCACATGGCTTTCCGGCAGAATTCTACAAAATGTACAAGGAGGAGCTGATACCAATCTATTGAAAATACGTATTCCAGTCAATTGAGAAAGACAGAATTCTCCCCAAATCATTTTACGAAGTTAACATTACACTGATACCCAAATCGGGTAAAGTTGCAACAAAGAAAGAAAACTACAGGCCAATATCCTTTATGACCACAGATGCAAAATCCTCAACAAGATTCTAGCAAATTGAATCCAAAAACACATCTCAAATATCATCCACCATGACCAAGTAGGTTTCATCCTCCGGATGCAGGGTTGGTTCAACAATCTCAAGACCATAAATGTCATTAAATACATCAACAGACATAAAAGCAAGAACCACATGATTATCCCATTAGATGCAAAAAAGTTTTTAATAAAGTACAGCATCCTTTCTTGATAAAAACCCTCAAACACCTAGGTATAGAAGGAACATACCTCAAAATAGTAAGTGCCATCTATGACACACCCACAGCTAACATATTGCTAAATGGTCAGAAACTAGAATCATTTCCCCTGAAAACTGGAACAAGACAAAGCTGCCCACTCTCACCCCTCTTGTTCAATATTTGTTGGAAGTCCTAGCTCAGGCAATTAGACAAGAGAAGGAAATCTGGGGTATCCAAATAGGAAAAGAGGAAGTCAAGTTATTCCTGTTTGCTAATGATATGATCCTATACTATGAAAATCCAAGAGAACCTGTCAAAAACTGCTCGCACTGTTAATAAAGGACTTTGGGAAAGCCTCAGGGTACAAAATAAATGGGCAAAAGACAGTTGCATTCCTTTTTACCAACAACAAATAGGCAGAGATCCAAATAAAAAGCACAATCCCATTCACAATAGTCACCAAAAAAAGAAATACCTCGGCATCTTCCTAACCAGAGAAATGAAAGATCTTTACAATGAAAATTACAAAACACTGCTTAAAGAAATTCAAGAAGACACAAACAAATGGAAAAATAGTCCATGCTCATGGATAGGAAGAATCAACATTGTTAAGATGTCCATCCTACCAAAGGCAATCTAAAGATTCAACACAATACCCATTAAGCTACCAATATCATTCTTCTCAGACCTGGAAATGACAATACAGAAATTCATATTCATATTCATATGGAGAAGCTAAAACAATCCTTAGCAAAAGAAACAGAGCAGGAGGTACCACACTTCCAGACTTCAAACTTTACTATAAGCCTACAATAATCAAAACAGCCTGGTATTGGTACAAGAACAGGCACATAGACCAATGGAACACAATAGAGATTCCAGAAGCAAAGTCTCAATTCCTCAACCAACTCATTTTTGACAAAGCCTCCAACAACAAACACTGGGAAGAGGAGAATCTATACAGCAAATGGTGCTGGGAAAACTGACTGATCACATGCAGAAGATTGAAACAGGACCCCCACCTATCACCATACACAAAAATTAACTCTAAATGGATCAAAGACCTGACGGTAAAACCTCAAACTATAAGAATCTTAGAAAATGCTAGAGACACCACCCTTATAGAAATTGGAACTGGGAACCAATCCCTATTCAGAACCCTAAAGGCTAATACCTTAAGAAATAAAATAGACAAGTGGGACCTCATCAAATTTACGAACTTCTGCAAAACAAAAGAAACCATAAAGAGAGCAGGGAGACAGCCTACAAAATGAGAAAATATATTTTCCAACTGTTTATCCAACAAAGCCCTAACATCTAGGATCTACAAGGAACTCAAACACACCGAAAGGGTAAAAACAAGCAGCCTTTTTAAAAATTGGGCAAAAGACATGTGTAGACACTTCTCAAAAGAAGATATACGGCAGCCAACAGATGCATGAAAAAGTGCTCAGCCTCACTCATCATCAGAGAAATGCAAATCAAAACCACACTGAGATACTACCTAATCCCTGTAAAAATGGGCATCATTAATAAAGCAAACAACAACAGATGCTGGCGAGGATGAGGAGAAAAAGGAACACTTCTACACTGCTGGTAGGAATGTAAACTAGTGCAATCTCTCTATAAGACAGTTGTGGTGATTTCTGAAAGAACTAGAAATTGACCTTCCATATGACCCGGCAATTCCCCTATTGGGAATATACCCAAAGGAACTCAAATCATTCTACAAAAAAGACACCTGCACACGTATGTTTGTTGCAGCTCTATTCACAATAGCAAAAACATGGAACCAACCATGTTGCCCATCGAAGCTGGACTGGACAAAGAAAATGTGGTACATATACACAATGGAATATTATGTAACCATAAAGAATAACAAATATATGGACTCTGCAGCAACTTGGATGGATTTGGAGTCGATCATACTCATTTATCACAGAAACAAGGAACAGAGTATCATGTGTTCTCACTGATAAGCAGATCTTGAACAATTTTAATACTATAAGAAAGCATTTTACAGTAATGGGAAACTGTCAGGGGAGGGGTGGTGGGATTGGTAGTTGAGCAAAACTGCTAGGGGAGGGAGTGGCATACCTCATCCACAAGGACATCTGCATAATCAATGTTTGTATACCTAAGCCTGAATTGTACCCCACATCTTTATATTAAAAAAAAAGTTTTCCATTTACTTTGCCCAGTTCCATTAGAGAAATCACTATGGTACCTATAGTCTTACAAAATGTACTTCTTAAATAATAGGACTTGAAAGTCAAAGTTATTCCTTGATCCATGGACTGCAGAATGGATGGTGTGTTAGCAGGCATGAAGACAACATTAATATTTTTGTACATCTCCATCAGAGCTCTTGAGTGACTTAGTGCAATGGCAGTAGCGGGAAACTGTTGGGGAAGGGGGGTGGGATTGGCAGTTGAGGGAAACTGTTAGGGGAGGAAGGGGCATACCTCATCAACAAGGGTACTGGCATGATCAATGTTTGTATACCTAAACCTGAAATGTACAATCTTTACATTTATTTTTACAATAAAAAATAAAATTACAAATAAATAAATGAGGAACAGCAAAAAAAGAAACAGAAGTCACCATGCAAAAAAAAAAAAAAAAAATACCAGCACTCATATATTTATCACAGCACAATTCAAAACTGCAGAAATATAGATTCAATCTAAATGTCCATCAGCTAATCAGTGGTTTGTGTGTGTGTGTCTGTGCGTGTGTGTGTGTGTGTGTGTGTATGCACACATATAAACACACATACATATAATGAGGGGAAGGACACACAAAAAACCCATAATTATCTTTAGGAGGGTGGGCCCCTTGTACTATACTTGGAATTTGTTCCTCTGGATCAAACTGTCCACCAAAGTGTGACACAACCGTCTTAAAACCTCCAGATAAAAACTTTGGTGGACTGTTTGATCCTCTCCCACTCCACACTTAAAGAATGGAAATTTGTGCTGTCCTGGAAGGTAGAGTATCTACATAAGTTATTTGTAATTATTCTGAAAGAAATTTTTCTTCTCTCACATTTATTAAATTTATTTATACCCCCCAAAAATGGTACAATGGACACGGGAGACTCAGAAGCAGCAGGGAGGGCAGAGGGGGAGGGATGAAAAATCATCTATTGGGAACAATGTGCACAAGTGGGAGGTGGAGGGAACTTAAAGCCCAGACTTCTTCACCACTATAAGATGCATCCATGTAACCAAAAACCATTTGTACACTCTAAAGCTATTGAAATAAAATAAACACATACATACATTTGACAAAGTAAAAAAATAGTAATATTGGAAGAGAACATGAATGAGCAAAAAATAGAAAGTGATCTTCTAAAATGTTGTGGTGGTCTATGAGATAAACTATAAATGTGTGTTGTATTTCAAGAAATGGAGATTTGGTTCAGTAAAAAGAAAAAAGAACTATACTGGCCAAAACAAACACTTACCTTTATATTTGTAGCACAACCATGCTCAACAATATAAAGATCAGCCCCATCAACTCCTAATCGAGTCATAGTATATTTTAAATCATCTGACGTTGGACAAGGCCCAGGAATACAACTCAACTAAAATATAAAAGGATTGTACATTTAATTCACTACCATCAAATCATTATTTTGATACAAAAAATCTCTCTGTTTAAATAAACAAATTTCTGGTTATATGTGTATCTTATTTTTTAAAAATAAATTTAATTATTTTCTTTTATAATAATAAATGAAATCATCAGCAGTTAAAGTGTCACCTATTAAAAAACTATGAATTAGAAAATAGTAAGTAAGTATGTACTATTTTCATTCAAAAGGAGCAAGGAGAAAGTCTAATTGACAGAATGCATATATAATATTACTGAAACTTGGAAAGTATAGTCAAAGTAAACTGATAAGTCAGCAATGTCACAGGTTTACAAGAATTGTGTAAGAGTTGTAAGATTTTCTTATGAGCACTCTGCAACACAAGATATTTTTTTTTACATACACCCACAAATATATCAACTCTAATGCTGATATCTAGGACAATCCACATAAATTCAATTTTGTTTTACCACTAAAGTATAGAGTTTATAATGTTTAGGTTGGAAAAAAATGTATATATCACTTACTTCAATTAATTTCTTCAAGAAATGGCAGCCCTGAGTAAATTACTGGCCCAATAGCATGTAAATGCTCATTAGCAGCAGAGCCAGAACTAGGAGTAGGCGTCTTGCAATGTAGTCAATGCTCTAACACTGATACATTTCTTCCGGACAAAAACAGAGCTAAACACACTGATCTAAAGTGACAGAAAGGAGATCAGTGGTTGCCAGTGGTAGGCGCTAACTGCACAGAGACATAAAGAAGTTTTCTGAGGTGACAAAAATGTTCTAGATTTTCACTAATGGAAATGAATACACAGGTATTACAGCATTGATCAAAAATCAAACTGTACAACTATAAAAGAGCAAATTTATTGTATATACATTATGCCTCAATAAAGTTGGTTTAAAATTTTTTAACCTGATGCAGAAGTTTTGATTTTCAAAAGAAAAAAAAGGAGGGAGAAATCTACAAGCATGTGTGAAGCATCCATAAGAAACTAACTGTCTGATATATGACTAAAAAACCAATTCTGGAGAGCCTGGCAATGTAAAGGACCATTTATAGCTGCTTCCTCTAATGTAAGTAAATAAGCATGAGTTACAGATCTTTTTTACATAAAACTAAAAGTAAATTACTTTCAATTCACATTTGTTTGTATTGCAAAAAAACAATAAAAAAGAAAAGATACACAGGAAAGAACAAGAAAGAAAAACTAAACTGTTAACAGTTACCTCTGTGTTGTAGAAGTAAGGTAACTTGTTTTTCTTTTCTAATATTGTCATGTTTTCCAGGTTTTTTGAAATGAGCATACTTTCAAAATCGGGGAGGGGGATGCCCCCTCCCAATTCATAAGGGAGAGCACCATAATACTCTGCATTTCACTGCCACTGCACTTGGTTTTAGGGATTATCATCTACTCTTTACAATCCTTGTTAAGATACTGTAATGACTCTTAATGGATGCAATACAATACTGTGGAAATAGCAGGTTTGGAGTCAGGAAGCTTAGCAAAAGCCCAGCACTCTTAATCAAATTATAAGAGAATAGGTATTTCCCAGAGTGCAAGCAAACCATGTCATATAAGGAATTTAAACTTCCCCTTGCATCAATTTCTAAATTTTCTACATTAATTATATAGTCACATCCCAAGAAGATACTATAGTAATGCAATTATGACATGAATGTTAACAGCAAAAATATGATATAATTTTTATAATATCTTCATTTATTTGTGAATGTGTAGTTTTATTTATTTATTTATTTTTATTTTATTTTTATTTTTTGAGTTGGAGTCTCACTCAGTCACCCAGACTAGAGTGCAGTGGCCGCTCTTGGCCACTGTAGCCTCAACCTGCTGGGCTCCGGCGATCCTTCCACCTCAGTCTTCCAAGTAGCTGGAACTACAGGTGCGCTACCACTCCTGGCTAATTTTTTTGATTTATAGTAGAGATGAGGTCTCGCCAAGTTGCCCAGGTGGGTTTCAAACCCACGGGCTCAGGCAATTCACTCACCTCGGCCTCCCAAAGTGCGGGATTACAGGCTGAGCCACCGAGACCGGCCTGTAGTTTTAATAATTATTTCACAGTTTAGATATTTACATCTAAATAAGTGGCTAAGAATTTGCAAAATAATTTTATTAATTGAGAAAAATGGAACTGTAGTTTTTTTCATGGCTAAATATATTAGATGTAAAGCTGATCTCAATCTTTCATTTGAAAAAATTCATAAATGCTTATAACACTGCTAACATATTTGTTAACATACCTTGGATTCACAGAACCGACGATCAATTCCATGCTGACATATTATTACCGACTTTGGTCTTTCCAGTTCATACTCCCGACATACCACGTGAAAAACAAATGTCTGTCCCCACTCCAAGAGGCATGCCAGCTACAGATGATCAGTGAGAGGTTAACAACACTATTAGAATTTTAAATCATTCAGAGTTCAAAAGTTTATGAAGAATTCAAATGCTATCTTAAAACTGCTGCTACATAACCTACCAATTATTTTTCTACCTTGAAGTCATTTATAAGCTTGGGCTATTTTTCATTTGTGAATGCCAATTATAAGGCCAGGGTGCAGTATTTCTTTTCTTTCATTTTTAGGCACTCCACTACACATTTTTTAAACTGATTTTTATACACGTCATTATATATTCTAATATGTTGAAATGTCACTCAACTTCAAAATACCCTTTTTAATTCGATTAATTTCCCCACTATTTTTAGAATATTAATATTTGCCACCCTCGGACAATTTCTTCCTGGTATACAAGGTATCTAAATTCTTTGTTTACCTTCTTGCTGCTATTCCCTAACTCTAAATTGTTTCGTATCCATTCTGTAACTTTTTGTGAAAATTGAATATGTGTATTTCTACCACATTCCAGTCTTTTGAAATGACAAGATTAGCATTCACATTATAATAAATGTATGACTCAACAAGTGAAATGCTACAGCAATATGGAAATTCAACTAAACGTTAATTGTCAATTAGAACTAAATAAGCCTTAAAGTCTTTGAGCTTTCTAAGGATTAAGTGGGATGGATGAGGGTGGAATTTATCCAGAAGGACTATACCTAGCATTCTAGGTCAGATTTACTTACCTGTAAATTCATTTTTATTTTTTTAAATAAGTATATACATTATTAATAGCAGGTACAAATAATGTTATCTTGCTTTGGGACACGACAAGGAAAGAACTATGCTACCTAATCCTTAGCATCATAAAGGTTACTTTCAAAACCCATTTAAAAATATACAAGAAAGTTCTTAGAAAATCATTCCACATACTAGAAAAACCAGTTTGTTCCAACAGTGGTGAGTCAATTAATATAATTTTAATAATATACTAACTTGATTTCCAGAACAGTTATCATTCTGAGTTTTTCCCAAGGAAAGTCTTGAATTTTTGAAAGTATTATACAGAACTACATCACATTACATCCATCAATTACATGTAATTTGGAAAAGTAAAACTTGTTTCTGACTCATCTATAGCTAAGAAAATTCTAAATGGCAAGAATGGCTTCCACTAGAATACCATCAGTGGAAATGCAATGAATGTTCAAACAGGCATACAAGTTAGTCTTAGGAAGGTAGGTAAAGAAAGGAGAGAGAAAATAAAACAGGAGATAGTACTCGGAAAATCATACCTGTGGTGCTGTGACCTTAGCTGTAATGCTTCCAGCCTGCACATCAATTAACCATGCATACTCCAAGGAATCACTTCCTAAAGGTAGACCTTCTGCTGAGAACATAGCATGTGCTCTCAACTGAAGACCTGACAAATTGATGTGACCTTCCCTGAGTACTTCATCCACAGGGGGTCGCTGCTGAAAACAATAATAATGAGATTGTAAGAAGTACAAGAAAATCGCATTATAATTTCCAATCCTGAGTTGTACCCCAAATCTTTAAAAGAAGTACAAAAAAATCATATTAAAAGTTCTGGTTTCCATCTCTCTGCAGAGATGAACAAAAAAAATCATGCTAGCTGGGAAATAAGACTTCAGAATCTACAAGTTCCTAAAACAGCCTTGGACCTACAGAAGTAGTCTGAGTTAAGCTTCTTTAGTGACAATAGCTATGAGAGTCCAACTACAAAGTAAGATATCTAGGTCCTAAAACATGTACAGACCTCTGATTGGTAAATGCCCTTATGAATAAAAAAGAAACTACAGTAGTAGTACTTTAACTGATAGGGAATGCAAGAGGCCAATCTTTTGTAGAAAAGCTAGGAATCATGAGATTAAAATATTAAAAACAAGGTAGGATAACAGGGAAGAACAAAGACCATTAAATAAAGAACTGGGGGAAAGTCAATGTACATATAGATTCTGAGGACTATGTAAATACAGGAAGGACAGTTTTCTCTCATGGGGAAAACTGACTGCTAAAAAGCAGCATATATTTCAAAGAGAAAATTTCTAACACACATTCAGAGAGATAAAGGATATGTCTGAAAACAAAGTATTCCACGGAACACTCGTTGTACAGAACATTATTAGGAACACAGAATCAAATAACTTGGAAATGCCCCACCCGTCAGTTGCCAATTTCTAGTGAATCTACCTTCCAAGCTCACAAATGCATTGACTTTCTACCATCTTCACTGCTATATCTTCGTCCAAAGAGTATTCTCTCTTGTCAGGACCTCAGCAAGTTTTCCCAGCATTCACTTTTACACTTCTCTACTCCAAACTCTACCAACAACCACAGAAATCATTTAGAAATACAAATTTCATCATGTTCTTGTCTCCAGACCTTTACATACTACCAAAGCACTACAGTACTTTTACGCTTGAATTTATCTCAATTCTTATTTCCTAGATATGTATCTTCTCACCAGGTTCAGTAAAGTAAGCATCATTTCTGTCTTGTTCCCCAAGTACCTCAATGCACCTAACAGAATGACCAAACAAAGTAGATGCTGCTGACTGACCACACAACAAGTGTTTTCAGAGCCTTCCACATACCAGTACACATTGAGATAGTTCACAGATATTTCTCAACCTAACTTTACTATGGCAGTCCTCTTCATATGTGTATAGACCAACTCATAGGGTCAATGTTCCTTGGTTTCAAGACAGCTTGGGAAACACATTCTTAAAATTAAAAAAAAAAAAAAAATTAAGGATAAGAGCTAATCTAACTCATAAGAAGTTTTAAAAGAAAATGTCAAACTGTGACAATAATAGTTTCATAAGCTCTTCTGATATAATTTTTCATTTTCATTCAAGCTATGTGACTTTATATAAAATCATCTAACTTCTCCCAACATTTGTTTCCTTACCTTTTACTTCAGGAAATTGGGGAGAATGATCAATAAAGTTCTCTTATGGCACTGAGATTCAATAATTCTCAGTATCAGCCGGGCTCAGTGGCTCAGCTGGTGATCTCAGCACTTTGGGAGGCCAAGGCAAGTGGATTGCCTGAGCCTGAGGGTTCGAGACCAGCCCAGGCAACTTGGCGAGACCTCATCTCTACAATTAAAAAAAAAATTAGCTGGGCATCGTAGAGCACACCTGTAGCTCCAGCTACTTGGAAGGCTAAGGCGGAAGGATTGCCAGAACCCAGCAGGTTGACACTAGGGTGGCCATGAGCATGCCACTATACTTCAGCCCGGGTGACAGAGTGAGACTCCAACTCAAAAAATAAAAATAAAATTAATAATAATAACAATTCTCAGTATCAATTTTTATTAAATTTTTTAGCTTAAAAATAGATGCAGAGCTTGGCCTGTCCTAAGATGCAGTCTACGTGGTATATAATAAGGATTATATTCTAAATTTTATTACGGCTTGCATCATATTATGGGTTGAAGAGCATCCCCCAAAGGGATACATTAAAATCCGAAGTCCTGCAACCTGTGAATGTGATCTCTTTTGGAAATGCAATTTTTGCAGATGTAATCATGTTATGATAAGGTCACAGTGAATTAGGGTAGACCATAATCAATACGACTGATGTCCCTGTAAGAAGAGAAAAAATCTGGACACACAAAGAGAATGCCATTGAAGTGGAGGCGGCAATCTAAGTGATGCATCTGCAAGCCAAGGAATGCCAAGGATTGCTGGCAACCATCAGACCCAGGAACAGGCAAGGAAGGAAATCCCCCCATAGCAGAGAGTGTGGTCCTGCCAACACCTTGATTCAGGACTCTGACCCTCCAGAACTGTGAAAAGTATGTAGTTTCACAGGTGGGACATATCAATTCATCCTTTACCTTAGGTCCTTCGCCTTGAAGCCCTGAATTAAGACTAATGGTACCAAAACTAAACTACAGGTGAGTGACCTAGATTTTAACCTTGGGAATAGACAGAGGATGAAGTCTCACACCATGAAAGGACATTAGATAGTATAAGCCAAACAAAAAAATGTCTTAAGAATAGTCATGCCAACACTATAAATGTACAAAAGTTAAGTAGTTAAGCAAATTCCAAGAGGATACTTTTTTGGGGGGAGATAAATTACTAATCATCTAGGGAAAAAGAATATCACCAGTACTTATACTACCACTTTCACATCGTCACTCTATGAACTCCTTCTCTGATCCCCAAATAAATCATACTTTATAATTCAGTCTCTCTTTATGTTTACCATACCTTTATAATAAGAGTTAATATGAGACTTCATAATGAGCTCAACAAAGTGTTTTTTATGTCTAGAAAAGCCTTTTGAAAGTGCATTAAGATAAAAGTTAAAGTCCTACTGGGTACTCATAAGAAACCAGAGATATACATCTAAGATTCTCAGAACTCATCCATAAAAAGAGATTTTTCCCTTTTACCTTTGTTAATTTCCTCAATAGGCTAAAAAAAGAGATAGGCTTCCTTTCCATACACCTGACTTTCAAAATTAAAAAAAAAAAATTCTAATGACCCATTAATTCTAGAGAGGGCAAAGGATTTATGGTTGTTTCTGTGGCAAGTTCAAATAATGTGTGATAATAGAACAGTTCTGTTTCTTCATTTTGGTGATGGTTACATGAATCCACATGTGATAAAATAATTGTACCAGTGTCAATTTCCTTGCTTTGATACTGTACCATAATTATATAAAACAATTATACCATGAGAAAAACGGGTGAAGGGCACACACAGGCTCTGTACTATCTTTGCAACTTCCTGTGAATCTATAATTATTTCAAAATAAAAGTTTAAAGTAAGAAACACACATTCTGTAGCAAAACAAAAACAATGTCTAGCACATATTAAGTGTTAAGTCTTGGCTATTGTGATCTTATCTATGACAAATAAATATATATGAAAAAATAAATTAAAATTCCATGAAGAAATATATAATCCATGAAAAAATGATCAGCCATTGGTGATTCTGGGGTGCCAGATTCATCTTCCCATTTATAATCTTCTATTGCCTTATAGGAAAATCTGTTTGTATTTCTAAATCACAGAACTTGACAGAAGTAGGGAAGGGCCCTAAAGCAGTGGTAGGTGCCCAGAAAAGTCATTTGACACTTAAAAAAATAATAATAGGCCACGTGAACTGGCTCAAGCCTGTAATCCCAGCACTTTGGGAGGCCAAGATGAAAGGATTGCCTGAGCCCATGGGTTCAAGAAAAGCCTGCGCAACTTGGTGAGCCTTCATCTCTACAATAAATCAAAAAATTAGCTGGGCGTGGCAGCGCACACCTTCCGGCTACTTGGAAGGCTGAGGCAGGATTGCCTAAGCCCAGCAGGTTGACACTGGGGTAGCCATGAGCATGCCACTGTACTATAGCCTGGGCGACGGAGTGAGACTCCAACTCTAATAATAATAATAATAATAATAATAATAATAAAAAAGTTATAATCTTCCTTGGAACTTAATAAATTCTCACTTGATGAATATCATTGTGTGTCTTCCAAAAGAGGCTCAGAAGTATGTTGAAAGAATTTTAAAAGTATCTCATAAGTATGTTAGATTAATGAGAATAAATCACTGACCGTGTAGATATGCAGGTTTTGAAATTCTGTGGTACTGGGTTAATATTAATACTTATGTTATAATTTTCCATAGATTCTATGAACAGTCATTTTATATATATTTATCCTCCTAAAGTATATAAGAAAGTATCTATTTCCATTAGTAAAAACAAAAGACATACAAGATCATTGGGATCACACAAATAGGGAGTAAACAAGGAGCAGCAAAAAATAAAAAGATTATTTTATCATCTCTCATACATATAGACATAACATACAGAACTTCTAAATATTGTTAGGAGTCTCTAATTAAAGAGTTACATATTACATGCACAAAATCTAACACATTGTTTTTACTTCATAAATATTAACAGTAAATTTCTAGGTCTCTACCATATCTCACTTTCACATTACCTGATAGTTATCACTGACAAATACATTCAGGGGTGACAGGATAAGTTGTAACATGGTCTCTCTAAATCCTTTTTTCATTTCAAAACATAGTCTTTCCAAGAAAGCTGTAGGGCATTCAGGACCATCAGCAGTTCCATGCTACAGTGAAACAAAAAATGATAATCAGGATATAGAAAAAAGTAAAGAGTAAGAAAGTATAAGAAAATAATAATTACTTTTATCATGATTAAGAGAACCTGAATTTTCAAAATGAGAAACAGTGCTTAGTGTAAAAAATAATTATTCTGTACTCCTGTAAGGACATTAGCTACACTAAGCATCAGAGGTGACTTCTCTACTGTGTGATCCTAGGTCCATGACATAGAATCAGGAAGCAGCAAAATGCTCTAGGACCAGCTACTCCCCTATCTGGCACTGTTCCAAAGTCCTTGGATACTTGGGACAATATAATGACATTACATGCCAAACCTTAGAGTAAACCAGGATACTGTGCTGGATCCACTGTGTAATTTAATTTCCAGGGTCAAGCCTGAAACTTGATTTTCTAAAAGTCCACCACAAGGCCCCAAACTGGTCTGGGGTCTGGACATAAAAGCTATCCAACAGGCTAATTATAAACCAAACAACTCAATGTCTTTATACAATATCCTCAAGTTACACAAAGCAGTCAAGAAGGAGTTAAAGTGAAAGAAGAAAATTAGAAAGTAAAATTATCAAGGATCGTTATCTTTATTACAGTAAAAAAATAAATTCAGAAGCTTTTGAGTCTGATTTTTTTCTTTTGGAATTGTGTGCTGCATGAGTGCACACATACACACAGTTTCCTATGTCAGGTGGATGTCATAATACACTCAAGACTATTTGATATGTGAACACTTACAACAGGAAGACGCCCATGAACTTTGTATAAATTAACAAGTACAGTAATATCCCAAGGACGCAAGGTAAGTGGGTGAATTGACTTGGCTGAACTTTCATTTTCCTTTTTGTCATTTTCCATTCCAACAGCAGTCCACCCAGAGCTGGATGATGTAGACAGTGACAGAACAGGACTTGAAATAACCTCTTCAAAATCTATATACATGTCATCTTCTCCAAAGTAGTTTTCCTACAAATATTAAGAAAAAACAAACTGCTATCAAAAGAGAAACAGTAAATTTTCACCTATGAGTCCCAAATTTGTAAACTATGCATTTCCCTAACATAGCATATATTTTTTAAAAAAAGTATCAGGTCTATTTCCATGAAATAAAAAAGGACATATATATTTAAGACATACACATAGCTACTTAGCAAATAAATGTTTTGTAACAAAAAACCACAAAAAGTCACAGAAGTTTATAGTAAAACTTGATGACATTACCCCCAATTACAGCAAAAATTTGCAATGTAGGCCCTCGAAGAGACCTATGAAGATTTGTGTGGTTCAAGTTTTCAATCTATGCTTCTCAGAGTTCTGAGGCAATACTTGGGGACATCCTTTGGGGAAGGCAAGCCAATTCACTGAAAATCAATTTAGCCAAATCCAATTAGGTAAAAACTAAAATTCAAATATTCCTGTTGAAATATCTGTCAGGAATGTTGCAGCAACTTTAATAAAAATGCCCAGTTTCGCTTACTGATAAAATGTTTTATCAATAGTTCCCAAAACTTCCTTTCACATAGTTCATCCTGGTTTTTTTATGCAGTAGCGTTTCAACTTTTTAATATTCTGATTCATTTTCTATCAGAATTTAAATTTAATTTTGATTTTTCCTTCCCATTGATTCTAAATTTTAATTTTGTCTATTTGATCTGTCAATAGTAAACAAAAATTGTTAAATATTCCTGTTAACACTGTTGCTATACCTGCTAAACATTAGAACCAAGTCAGTATTTTGGTTTACTCTGCAATTTAGTTACTGACAAAATTATTTTCTGGCTAGGGTTATATACCATTAGGCCATAATATCCTTTCATAGGAAAGGATGTTGAAGGACTTAAAGTCATACAACTAATTAGTATCTCAAATCTACCGATTCACAAAATCAGTGCTTTTCCTTCTATTCTCTACTGTTGTCTACCTCTTAAATACAACAGATACAACTTAATACTTGCTTCAAGTGTTGATAACTGTCCTTGTAATATAATCTTGAAGCATGGACAAATGTAAGCACAAATATAAAGGTAAATAAACATCAGATTATATCCTAAATTCCAACGTTAAATTTTAAAAACTAAACATAAATGTCTAATTAAGTTTGACCAACCTTAAAAACCCTAAAAGTATTCAGAACAGTAGTTCTCCCTTAGATCATTTGGGAAGCCTTTTCAAAATACACATGCCATCCCAATTCTGGAGGTTGGTTCAGCAGGATTGCAGTAGGCACGGAGCCCAGAATAAGATGCAAAATGGAAAAACTCCTCTGGCGATTTCATCTGCAGATGGTCTCCAAACTTTACCTCAACCCCACCTTCCCTCCCAACTTTACCTCAACCCCACCTTCCCTCCCAACAGCTGATCAAAGGAGTCAACAACATACACTATCCATGTTTTTGTTTTTTTGTTTTTTTTTAAAGATGTAGGGTACAATTCAGGATTAGGTATACAAGTGGACATTGTACAGGTAAAGTCTGGGTCTCCCTTTAATCTCCACTTTGCTTAGTTTGAGACCAGGTACACTTACTGATATTGTATCCTCACCCCAACAGTATCCCGCTAGCAGCAATTCCTTTCTTATCGTATTATGGTAAACATTCAGGGTCTGCTTATGAGTGAGCACTATCCATGGTTTTAGCTTTCAACATGCTAACATTTACCAACAAAAGCTATCAGCACCCGTTTTAGCTGAGTTATAATTCTAACCTACAAATCTCTTATTTAAAAAAAAAAAAATTCTCATAGTCCCTTATGGTCTTTAATTTTAAAAAAATGCAGATTCCTGTAGATTATTATAATTAAAAAAAATTCTCTTGGGCCTAATGTTCAATTTGCCAATCTCCTTTTAATTATCTGAGATAGAACCAATTCAAATCAAATTCTCTCGGGAACAGCAAATGTCCAATATAGTAGAGGACATCTGCTAATTTTTATTAAATGTGTCAGTGACTATGTTTTAAAGAAGTTATGAAATACTAGGTATCTTTTTATGAGTTAATGTACCTATTGAATATTATCAAAAATTGTACTTTCAAAATTATAATTCCCTTAAAAGCTTAGCATAATGTAAAATGTTTAATGCTGGTTGTGTGATTTAAGGTTTCTTTTTCCTAAATATGTGAATTCCAATATATGAGTTAATTTCTTAAGAATTCACTAAAAAAATTTTAAAAATTACCAAAAGGCTGATTAAAGTATAAGGCAAGTGATAATATATTATGGCAAACTTTTACAATACTTTAAGACTAATATATGTATACAGATAACTGCAAATAAAATTTCCATTTCATGGTGGGTAGCATGCAAAATTAAAAGATCTTTACAATAAATTCCGAACAATATTGACCCACAGAACTGGGAAAATATATTATTTTATCAAGTTGTAGCTTGTTTCAATTTAAGAATGATAAGCTACATTTCAATTTATTTAAGAGTTCTCTGAAATTAACCTACTTCAAGTAACAGAAGGCAGTCATATTTTTCCCAGCTAAAAATGTATGCTTATCTAATGACAGGCATTTCTCAAAAAAGAGAAAAAAAGAATTAACAACAACAGGTTAAAAAATGATAACTAGTAAAATCACAGAGAGACAGAGGAAATGCCTACAAGTACTGGTTCCAAAATTACATTTTTCTAAAAAAAGGAAAATTAATACCCAGGCTTCTGTTTGAGAATATTAAAACTATTATTAATTCAGTTACTATTTGCTAGCAATGACATGCTATCACTAAGATTTCTTTCAACAAAAAATGTAGTAAAACTAAGAGAAGTCAATTCTGAAAAGTAATATAACTGATATTATTATTCAACCTATGCCCACAACAGAAGAAAGGATAAAGTTTTAATATGACTGAAATGACTTTGGGCTAACAGAGTTGCTATACTGTCTACATCTGCAGAAGACCTCCCGTCTCCATAAAATGTACTCAAAAATTTTAATGCATGTTCAGTATATATTCTTCTTAGAATTATTTATAATGATAATGCCAAGTGCAGTTTCTTTTACGGATTTTAGAAATCAGTTTTTCGTATACAGTCAAACAAATATAGAGTGATTCTTTTTTCCCCAGTTTATCCTTTGTAATTTATTGATGTTTAATTCTGATAACTAAAAAAACACAATCCCAGTTACATGAATTTTCACATTCCCTTAATTTTCTTCTTTTATATATATATGAATATACATGAAAAAGAAAATTTCATGTTATATTAATATATTATATTTAAAAACTGTAATACCTAAATGTCACATTTTAAAGTTCTAACACCAATATCAAGTAGAATACAAGTTACATATTAAAACAAACAAACAAAAATAGAGAGGGATTTTATGATAAAATAACACTTTTATCTCAGCATGACACTAAGCTTTCTGGTAGGCAAACAACAGAAACTTAGAGTTACATAAATTCCTTATGAAAGGAAGCATAAACATCAGATGCTGGAGAGGATGGGGGGTATTTCTACACAGTTGGTGGGAGTGTAAACTAGTACTACCCCTGTGGAAAACAGTATGGCAATTCCCAAAAGATCTAAAAATCGATCTTCCATATGACCCCACAATCTCCCTACTGAGAATATACCCAGAGGAACTCAAATCACTCTATGAAAAAGACACCTGCACACACATGTTTATTGCAGCATTGTTCACAATAGCAAAAACATGGAACCAATCGTGCTGCCCATTGAAAGAGGATTGGATTTTTTAAAAATGATTTGTGTGGAACATTTTAAAAGGAATATTTGAAAATCAAAAGAGTAAGAGTGATCTCTAAAAAAACAAATGAAGTAAGTCCTCAAATATAGCCTCTCTTCATAAGCATGCTACAGATATCAACCGTAAAGTGCTATCACACTGTGTAATCACACAATTTCAGTAGAAAAAATTAGATAAAAATGCACCAAAACTTGATTCATTCTTTGTTCTAAAAAGTAGTACATATTCATTTAGAACCTAAATTTGACATGCCCTGTGATAAACGTATTTTTATATATTTCCTTCAATTTTAAAAATACTATCATCTGTTTTTAATAGATCCACTTCAAATAGACTTTTCCTGTTATCCAATACTCTCAGATAATAAGCTGTACTTCTACTGCTATGTTACTTAGAATGTGTTAAAAATTTGTCCATATATCTATCCTTCTAGCTATCTCTTTAGCTTACCTCCTTGAGAAAAGATGCTATTATCATCTTTACCTCTGTAACCAGCTCTATGTTCTAAGTTCCTAGAACAGACTAAATGCTCAAGTAAATGCTGAACTTAAGAGTACTATTTTAAGCCGGGCTCAGTGGCTCAGCCTGTAATCCCGCGCCTTTGGGAGGCTGAGGTGAGTGGATTGCCTGAGCCCGCAGGTTCGAGACCCACCTGGGCAGCGAGACCTCACTCTACAATAAATCAAAAAATCAGCCGGGCGTGGTAGCACATGCCTGTAATTCCGGCTACTCGGAAGGCTGAGGCGGAAGGATCGCCAGAGCCCAGCAGGCGAGGCTGCGGTGGCCGGGAGCGGACACTGCACTCCAGTCTGGGCGACAGAGTGAGACTGCAACTCAAAAAACAAAAGAGTACTATTTTAAATAAATAATTTTATAATTGAGTCTAGCATTGCAAGTCCAGTCAACATACATAATATATCCTCAAAACTTTAAATGGCTATTTAAAATGGTCTCATTTTAAAAATTCAATTGTAACTGCTTTATGTTTAAAAATATGAGTTCTTTTTAAAAATCATACCTTTATACACAAAAAAGCATTTAATAGAGGTCCATAAAGAGTTATCTGAGAATCTGGAGAAAGTTCCATTTCTACATGAAGTTTATCAGGTGGAAGTTCTGAGGGATCAACAGGTGGGCGTGAAGAAGGAGAGGGAGAAGAAACAACTCTGTCTGATGCTTTCTGGGATGGCCTCAATACAGACAGCATTGTCTCTTCCATTTCTGACACTGGAATAAATTGAGGGAAAAAAGTATTAATGTTTGAGGGAGGGGGAAAATGATCTCTTAGAAGTTCTTCAAGGAAATAATCACTAAGAAATTTTACTTTGTAAATATGAAATCAACTAACCCTTACATAATGTATATAATGAAAATAGACATGAAAGACCAATAATTAAGAAAGTAGGTAAAGAATAAATTTAATTGAAATATGGAGAGAAATACATAAATCAGAATGCATAGAATCAACGAAAAGTTGCTGTTAACATAAACAACATTCTCACTGAGTCCCTGCAGTATAAATTTGGGTCATAACTAGGCCTTAACTAAACTTGGGCATTAAACTACAAAGTTGTTTGCACATAAATAGCTTTCAAATATAGTGTGACATAATCAAGTCACCCTACATATTAACAACTATGAAGACCCTTCTTTGAAACTTAATTCACTGGAAAAATACAAAGAAAACATCACTTGACTCTAATTCCTTTATGGACCCAGGTAATAAGGCAAATTACCTTCAGGAAACTAAATTATGTGATAGTTGTCAAAATGCATTTAAAGAAACTAACATTTCACAAACTATAGATTAACTTAACTATATAGATTCATATAACCTTGTTTCATAATCCAGCTCTGCTACTTTTAGATTGGCAGACTTTGAGAAAATCACTTATCTTCTCTGAACATATTTCCTAAACTCTAACATGAGGATAATAATAATATCTTTCTCATAGAGTTGTTGTACAGATTAAATGAGATAATGAAAGCCAGGAAACTGCTTAGCCCAGTATTTGATACATAGTAAATGCTCAAAAATTAGCTATGATTAATGCAAAATATTTAAAAGAGTATAAATTTATACTACTATGTCAGAAAAATAAATGCAGTTCCAAATTCTTTTTCTTTCTTTGTATCTGTGTTGATTATCAATCATAACAGCAGCTGTTTCAAAGCACAAATTACTTATAAAAACACTTACATGATTGTTTTAGCTGTTCATCTGCTTTTTGTGGATAAATTGGATGCCATGTATAATCAATTGTAAGCATGACACTTGGGACAGTCCAGCATTCAACCCAGCCAGCCCTTTGAAGAGTAAAAAACAAGTTTCTAGTCAAGTACTGATTCCTTTCATTGTACATAGGCCTGTTCCAGATAATCAAATTTTATTATTATTTTTTGAAGGAGGAATAATTTATTCACATCTAAGCGCAAAATGGTTAAGTTACTAATTTAATGTACTCACTTTTCCTGAGTAACATTGCGCCATTTTGGCTTAACTGTTTTCTGGCCACTCTGACATTCAGCAGGAATACCAGTATCATGAATCATCTTATTTGGGTGGCAATTTTTTACCAGCATAAATAATGAATATTTACTAGGGTGACAATCTGGTAGAAACAAATGAAGATCAACATCTTCTCCCTAAAAGATAATTTATATTATCCCAAAGTAATAAAATCAGTGCATAAATAGGTTATTATTTACAGCCAAACCTATCCATAACAATCTTGAAAGTAAATTTGAAATTAAAAACAAATTTTAAATGGCAGAGTTTACATTAAACACTGAGGTAAATAACTGGAGTAAGATTTTACGTTGACCAAAACAAAATCTGGATTGAAAAATAAAGAAAAAAGAACAGCATAGTTTTTACATAAAAGTGATAAGATTTTCTTCCATGGGTAACCACAGATTTCATTATATAAACTTCAGTTTTAGAAAAATACCTCTATAATACAAGCTCTGGTAGAATATGTTCAGTATTTTTATTAATTTTTAAAAATAGTACAGTCTCCTTTCAGTCTTGTAAGTCTTGCTTCTTCAACTGGCTTTTAATAAATTAAGATGGGTATATCACTTCCTTGCAAGCATTTTCTTTGTTCATTCTGACGACTAGTTTCCTAACAAGCAGCACAGTACGATGGTTAAAAGAATGAAACCCTAGGCTGCACTGCCCGGCACCTCACATGACAAGTGACATCAACTCTGCTCCTCAGTTTTCTAATTTTGAAATGCTGATATTAGCATCTAACCTCAAGAGGGTTGTTCTGAGAATTAAATGAGTTATTACATAATGTACACCGAACAGATTCTATATAGCATACAGAAAATGCTTAATAAATGTTAGCTGCTTCTATAGTTGTTACTATTTTTACCTCCATAACTACTATTAATTACTACCATTGCAATTACTACTAATTACCCATACTCTAAAACTAAGTGTTTCGTAAAATTCTGAGCTTAGGAGAAGAACATAGGATCTGGTTTTCAGATAAAAGGAAGAAAGGTGCTTGTGGTCATTCCTTGAGGCCATGGTTACAATCGGGAATCAAATATAGGGAAGTGTAGCATGAGTTCACAAACTAGTAAACATTAGAGCTTTCTTAAACGAACAAATAGAATAGCCACAGAGATCAGAAGTGAGCTTTAAAAAAATAATCAGTTTAAGAGATTTTTTTGTATTGCCCAATTTCTTAGGGGCAGCTAATTACAAAAAGAAAAGAGCAGAAACTCTAAGTCACTAAAGTTAGTAAAAGATGGAGGAAAACTAAAATACCTTAAAGTGGCAATAGGTTGAACAGGACAAAGTAAATATAAGCTTTGGGAAATCAAACTTACTAATAAACCTTGTAGAATAAACAATGCATCCAATTATACATACTCTTAAAGAGAACTTGGTATTACATGTGGCTGGAACAAAGTCCGTAAAAGGCAAAGAAAAATCAATGTTTAGTGTTTCCCCACAGGCTGCCAAATACACTAAAAAAAAAAAAAAAAAAGGGAAAAAAGGTAAATTTACTTTTAATGTCAATAAAATTTAAATTATAAAATTGCCTTAAATTATAAAATTGCCTAAAATTCACACCTAAACAAAATTAAATTCAAGATAATATATTTAGTCCAATACAAACTCTGAAATAGTCTCTGAGAGGCTCACAAGATAATGAGTGGAAAATGACTTCTAGTATCTAGTTTAAAACTACAAAATCAATACCAGTTTTCTTCATCAGCATTTGTCTTAATGAGCAGAATACTTAACCTACTCTTCAAATTTCTTACCATTTTCCTGTTGTTTTGTGGAACAGTCAATCCAATTGTGTTGATTAGCAGCCCAAATCATTTCAAATTGATGAAACATAATTTTAAAATTCCATGTATACGGAACAAATGAAAAAATGTCTGGAGCACTATCACTAGACCAGTCTTGAATTAAATCTAAAATTATTGGGGTAGAGGATAAAAGGTAAAGTTAACTGAAATTCAGAAAACAAAATACACAGATTCTTACACCAATCAAAAATGAATTTTTCTTTTGTAACTAAAGAACTTTTATACTGAACTAGTTAAAAGATGATTAGGATGTAGTTAAATAATTTGACAGTAAACAGATGCCTACTTACTAAACACAGTTCCAAATAAGAAAAAATTTATGTATTTAATATATCTATTATTTTTAAAGAAATTACTGCTTTTAAAGAAAATAAAGAGAAAAAATATCACCCAATATTCCACTACCCAAATAGCCTACAGTGTGGCGATATCTTCTTCTAGTTATTTTTCTAAATGGACTTCTGTACCTGTGTGTGTGTGTGTGTGTGTGTGTGTGTGTGTGTGTGTGTGTGTGTGTTTTATGTATTGCTTTTTTCATTCAACTCAAATATTTTTTCATGCTATCACACACATATTTACAAAAATTTTGCAAAACAAATTACTCATGAGACCTGCCAGGACTTACATAACCATTTTCTATAGTTGGCTATTTAGATTTTTTCCAAATATTTGTGTTATATATGATATTACCATGCAATACCTATTTCTGCACAAGATATTTTATATATCCAGGATTACTTTGTCAGTATAGTTTCCAGAAGTAGACATGCTGGGCCAAAATTTAGGAATTTTTTTCAAGACTACTTTGAATTAAAGAATTGCTTCCCAAGAGAAGTGAAACCATTTATGCTACCAGAAATGCATGCTTCACTATCTATCTCATTGTACCCTCTCCAGAATTATATTTCTTTCTACCTATGTCTCTTTTTTATTGTTTTTGTGTTACTTAATATCTGATAACTGAAAAAGAGTACCTCAATTTCACTGAATTTCTAATTACAAAACACAGATGAACATTTTTTAATGTTGCTTTATTCATTAAGCAACTAACTACTGAGTGCCTACTGTGTGCTAGACTCTGTTCTATACACTGGAGCTACGGTGATGAAGGAAACACAGACTTGACCTTCTTGTAACTTAAAATCATTCATCTTTTTCGATTGCTGATTCATTGTATGTTTAACTTACTTTTTAAAACTGTGCTCATATAGTCTACTTATACTTTGATACTTTAATTTTTTAGTCTCACTAAACAAATACTCTATATATAAAGATATTAGCTCTGATCTCCAATAGTCATTTCCATAACTTTATCTTCTGGTTTCCATACTGCTTACATGCATTTTATACTCCCAAAGTGTCTTCCTAGAAGTGCCAAATTCATCTTTGTATACTCACAGTACATAACACAGTGCCATGCATATGGAACTAGAACTCAGTGTGTGTGTCAGAGAGAGAGGAAGTGAAACAACTGGAAGCAGTATTGTTATAACACAGACTGGCACCAGACAGTCCTGGGTTTAAATTCTGGCTTTACCAGTTTTCTGGCTCTGTAATATTGAAAAGGCTGACTTCAATGCTTTCAGTTTTCTCTTTTACAAAATGAGAACAACTTAACAGATTTATAATGAGAACTGAGATACCTGTGTGATATTTTAACAAAGTAACTGGAACAGGGTAAGTACTCTACAAATGGTAAGCAACATTTATTATTGAAGATAGTCTAAAGACAATTAAAGGTAAAAACAATAAAATATTTCAAGTAATTTTTTTGAATTTTAAAGGGGATCTTTGAAAAATATTACAAGCCGGGCTTGGTGGCTCAGCCTGTAATCCCGCGCCTTTGGGAGGCTGAGGTGAGTGGACTGCCTGAGCCCGCGGGTTCGAGACCCGCCTGGGCAGCGAGACCTCATCTCTACAATAAATCAAAAAATCAGCCGGGTGTGGTAGCGCATGCTGTAATTCCGGCTACTTGGAAGGCTGAGGCGGAAGGATCGCCGGAGCCCAGCAGGTCGAGGCTGCGGTGGCCGGGAGCGGCCACTGCACTCCAGTCTGGGCGACAGAGTGAGACTCCAACTCAAAAAAAAAAAAAAGAAAAATATTACATTCAACGATGAACTCAGAGTAGGCTTATCTTACATATCACATGAACCTATTTAAAATTTAGCTGCCATGTACAGAAGCTGTCACATATATACCAGAGAAAGTCCTATGTTACTAAAATGGCAAAAAAATACATTTAATCTCAATTATCAATATTAAATTTGTATTAATCAGATGATAAAATACACACGACTATTAATCTATTCTATTAATAGAGAAAGGAAAATTCTACTTATCAAATTTACTTTAAATACATTTTTATTTCATTTAACAAGAAATCACAGTGGTTCATCATATTTTATAACATGTAAGTTTACTTCAAATCTTTATTTCTAAGTGCCACTCTACCTAACTAGCTTTTCTAACTTTACTCTTTAGCATAGAGTCTAGCACATCGGAAATATCCAAAAATTATCTCTGGAATTAATCAACTCCACAGTAGAAATTCATCATTCACCAGGCTGACTTCCTCACTTGACTCACTCATAACATTTATACCTCAGCATTTTTAGCCAAACTACTTACTCCGTCCAAAATTAATCCTGTCTTTCACATCCTCTCTGCTAAGGAAAAACTCCAACCATCTTTAATGCCAGCAAGATACTACAGAGAAAACAGGTCCACAGTTCTTAAATGTCTCTTCCACTCACTAGCTTGATGAGTTTACCCAAGTCATGCAAAGTTTCTATGACTCAAGTTCCTCATTGTAAGCTCAAGGCACTAATAACAGCTTTCTCATTTTAGAGTTATATGAAGATAATATAAGTGAACATGCTTTGTAAATGGCAAGATTAGTTACGCAAATCTTAGTTAATATTACTGAGTCCATTTACAAACACCATTTCAGACTTTAATTTGCTTCTTTATTTTCTTTGAATACCTTCAGATGATAATGATTTCCTCTGCACTCAACCCTTATACACATTTGTTAGCTTTACAACATACACCTGCACTCTCTCTATATATTGTCTGGTATTATTTCATTTGTCTGTTCTAGTACATGTGCCAATGTACTTGAGACTAACAAACAGTACAAAATAAGAAATGCCCATGAGTGAGGGCAGAGATCATATTTAATGTTTGTTTGGAATAAATTATTTATATGAGACAACGCATACCGGTTGCATTTTATCTACTTTACACTTTCATTAGTTAAAAGATCATGATATATTTGCTAATTATCTACTACTTAACTCAGGAAACAAGTTTAATTTTATAAAGTTATTAGGCAATTTATATTGTAATAAATTTTATTAATATTTTCTCTAATAACTTATTAAAAATTTCAACGCAGCATTCTGTAAAATAGTTTCCCTACCAGCTTCTATAGTATCTTTACTAATAAATATTGAAAACTATGGTGACAAAATACTTTTTTATAAGAGTCTCAACAACCATTTTAATATTCTTTCTCTTTAAACAAAAAAGCTGTTTTCATTACCATACAGTCTTATCCAATAATCTGATTAGAGAAAGGAAGACTTTCTTGATGACTGTCTTACTCATTTGTAAGACAAATTAAAACATCATTAATAAGGCAAACTAAATGTTAGTGTGAAAACACATACCAATGACTCACTTTATAATTAAGTTTTTACGCAAACACCCTATAAAATGTCAATTAATTGGTACTGCAGCCTTGCAATATAATTATTTTCTTTTCCTCCTTATCAGAGCAAATCTAAGTCAATTTCATTATCCCCAGAAGAGGCTCCAGTTTCTGCCTTTGTTTTATAGTGTTCACTCCTGAGGCTATTTATTATACAACTATCTTTGTCCCACATTGAATTCTCTTAAGAATAATTCTGCCTTACTAATATGTGGCATGAGAATGGCTGTTGAGGAATACCAGGCATTCCCTCACATAATATACATATGATTTCTTTTCTATATAATGCTGCCAACAGAGAAAGCAACTCAAACCCTATGATCAAGTGTGTCCACTCTAACTCTAAACTAATATTACTCTCTAGTCACCATCCTTTTTAGAGGATAAGTTTTAAAAGAACTCTAGAGTTGTCTGTTATGCTCTGCCTTCTAAAAATAGCAGAATATGACTAAATGTTACAGCTGTTAAATCTAGAGATGAAAACTTAAATGGTGATTATTTTTATTTTTTTACCTTTCTGTTTTAAAAATTTTCTTCATATAAATCTTGGGGGGGAAAAGAGTGAATTTCAATAGATAAAGCATAAAAATTAGAGTTAGAGAAATAAAATAATACATGGAAAAATCAGTTGTCCTTCAGAAAATCCAAACTTTACTGTTTATGAGTAACTACTATAATACTCAATTCAAATGAAAGTGCTACTACAAAATAAAATTTTAAAACTATAAAGAATATATACTTCTGGCCAGGCGCGGTGGCTCATGCCTAAAATTCCAGCACTTTGGGAGGCCAAGGTGAGAGGATCACCTGAGTTCATGGGTTAGAAATCAGATCTGGCAACTTGGTGAGACCTCATCTCTACAATAAATGAAAAAATTAACTGGGTATGGTGGCGCATTCCTGTAGTTCCAGCTTCTTGGAAAGCTGAGGCAGAAGGATAGCCTGAGCCCAGTAGGTCGAGGCTGTGGTGGCCATGAGCATGCCACTGCCCTCCAGCCTAGGCAACAGAGTGAGAATCCAATTAAAAAAAAAAAAAAAAAAAAGAATGTATACTTCTACTGCAGCTATTCTTAGCACTACAAGAGTCTGAAATGTCTGGAGGAAAAATGTGAAGAATTAAATACTTGAAAATGGGTATTTATTTTTAAAGATTAGCAAAGTTAAAAACTATAAAATCTTAAGTGAGAAGGAAAAGACTACAGTCAAAAGAGCTCAGTAACGTAATAAAACAGACTCTTGAGCCAGATGACTTGAGTTGAAATTCTAACTCAACTAGATTCCTAGTTGTATAACCCTGGACACATTGCTCACCTCTCTGTAACTCATTTTCCTCATCTGTAAAGAAAGGAAAATAGTAATAATGCTTATCTTTGAGTTACTGTGAGGATTCAACAATTGTATATGTGCAAACTGCTTAGGACAGAGTGAGACACATAATACACACTAAAAGTTTTAAATATTACTTTTTTCATAAATTTGAACTGAGAAGCGCTCATTCAGTGCTCAAGTTTAACTTGCAAAAGCTTAACTTGCCTAGGATTCTTGTCAAAATTTGTACCGCTGGAACACTAGTTCAAGCCCTGGAGAAGAAGCTGCTAACTCCGGGAAAGTAGACACACTCTATCTAGTCCCCAAGGTTCCCAGGCAAACCAGAAAACAAATATAAAAGCCTTATAGTAAAACATAGTGCAGTAAAAGGTCAAAACTCTATCGATAGCAAAATTAAGGTAGAAATATTCTCTATTTCTCAAACAGAGAAACTGATACATAAACAATGAAGTAATTTAGCCAACCTTATGCTGGTAGTATTGTCAGGATAAAACTATCTGTGTATTCCTTAATCACCACTATACCTTCAAATATCTAACAGTACTCACCACAGACTAGATGCTTGTAAATTATGGCTGACTGGTAGGTAAGTAGGTAGGTAGGTAGGTAGGTAGGTAGGTAGGTAGGTAGGTAGGCAGGCAGGCAGGCAAGCAGGCAGGCAAGAAGGAAGGAAGGAAGGAAGGAAGGAAAGATGTATGGATGGATGCATGGATAAAAGTAGCAAGCAGTCAAGCAAAGACTAGATGTCTGTAGGGTAGACATTGACACCAGAAAATCAGAGCAACTCTATGATGCTAAATTTTTTAGAGAAATGTTAATAAATGCCACCTATTTTTATGTTAAAATGTTTATGTTATTCACAGGCCAAGACTACATGTTCTTATACTTACAAAGTATGCATAGTTATCACAATATGGTGTAAGAAATAAAGGGATTTTTTTCCAACTAGTGACAGCACCAACTCAATTATCCATGCCAATAGAAAAGATTAAGTAGGGGCTCCAAATATAAAAATAACATTTAGTTACTTGAGCATACTGGTGTGGATTATAATAATTAAAACAAAATAATGAAATCATGCTGATGCCTAATTCAGGAAGAGAGATAAATGAATTCATAGTACCCATCCTACCTTCACCTAGACTGATACAAAGTGGCATAAATTGAGTTGTTTTATTTTCTTGTAAGTTCAATTTGGGATTTATATTTTTATTGTTTAGGCTAGAACACATAATGTCTATATTTAAACTTTCTCTTGATATAATGCCTGTATTTAAACTTTCTCTTTGATATTCTCAGCCCAAAATAAAGTATAAAAGTATATCAATTTGGGATTTATATTTTTATTGTTTAGGTTAGAACACATAATGTCTATATTTAAACTTTCTCTTTGATATTCTCAGCCCAAAATAAAGAAAGTATGAATTGCATCATTTTGGTTGGGCATGGTGGCTCACACCTGCAATTCCAGCACTTTGGAGAGTGAGGCAGAGGACCACTTGAGCCCCGGAGTTCAAGACCAGCCTAGGCAACATAGTGAGACCTCGTCTCTACAAAAACATTTTAAAAAGTTAGTTGGACGTGGTGGCACATGTCTCTAAGCCCAGGTACGATAAGACTGCTTGAGCCAAGGAGTTCAGGGTTGCAGTGAGCTGTGATTGTGCAACTGCACTCCAGTCTAGCAACAAACTAAAATCCTGACTCACCCCCCAACAAAAAAAATGACAAAAATAAAAATAAAAGAATTGTATCATCATACCCTATGTTGAACTTAAAACATAAAACTTTTTCAGTGTGAACAAGTTCACTGTGAAAAGTCTCACTATATTCATATTTATCAGAAAATTACCTGTAAAGAAGTTCTTCTGTGCAAAGATGAAGTGGTAGGTGGCTTTATAAACCTCTAATTCACACTGCCATGACTGTGGCATGTTCCATATTCGAGGGTAACTAGCATTGATGTGGAACTGCAAAACAAATGTTAAGCAAAAATGTTAGACCTTAAAATATGACACTGTGTGAACAGCATTAGAAATAAAGTCACACAGAGAATGGTGAGTAATTAAAATGTATTTTCCTACTGAGGTGAACAGAAGTGCCTCTGAGATTTTAATATTCCAGTGGGTGAAGGTCAATATCCATGGCTACATCCAGCTCCTTGAAATATTAAGTCATGATGTAGTAAAAAAAACTCAGAACAACAGATCAGACAACAGTTTTGACACTGCATTCCAGCTAAACCACTGGAGTGACAACCGAAATCTCTAATTTCTCTTTAAACCTCATCTGTTAAGTGAGAGGCTTGGGGTGAGGGATGGTAGAGTGCAGTGCATACTGTCACACATGACATTTGTATTTCTGCAAAACTCAGCACTTCCACAAAGGCAAAAACCATTTCCACAAAGGCAAAAACTGCCTGCTAGGAATAGAACTATCCACTGTCACACCACACTATTTATCAGTAACAACTCAAGAATTCATTAAAATGTTAAACATGACAGTTTAATATACATTTATAGCATTCTATATATTCTTGGTAATTGTAAAATTTCCCTCTTATTTATATATGTCATGCATAAAATGCTTTATTAAGACAAGTAATCAAGGACCTTATGATACCATCTTATATAAAAGAATCTTCTCTGAATATTTAACCACTCATATAGTGGCTTTGGTTATTATTGTTACTACTGCTGCTGTCCCTGATAACAGAAATATTAACCTGATTAGTGAGTCCCCTATTTGCAATTTTAATCATGGGTATTTTCATATTCTTTCTGTTTCTAATATAAAACAATCCAAGATATCAATAAAATTTTCTTCCTTTTACCTTACTCATCAAGTAAAAGGAATAATAAATAACCTTATATAAGCCCTTAGAAAGAATCCAACGGGGCTATAAATCATATAGTAAAGAATTACCTTATTTACAACTTACATTTAGTTTAGCCAAACATATAATGAACTTTAAAATCAATATTCTAACAAATCTTCATATTTTAAGGCCAAAAATATGTGCCATTGCTCTTACTCTCCTCCCCCATACTAGAAGCAGAGCAACAAGAGATGGCAAAAGGAATCCACATTACTGGGAGTCCACTCCTTTTCCCAAAGATAGGGTCATGAACACCTAGTGGTTTTAGAACCAGAAGCTACACTATTCAATGATTTTCTCATTAAACTTTATATTAGAAATTAAAAAACAAATTTGTATGTCATACAAGCAGGCATATTATCATACACTGCAGACTTACTGCTAACATTTCTGCTTCTAAGAGGGTCCGATATTGCATGCTGGTAGTGGCATCAACATGTAAGAGTTGTCCTTTAATTGCAGGGGTGTAACCTAATAATAAAAACATTAAAGTTAAGAACCAGAAAAAAATTAAACAATTAAAAATCTTTGGGCTGAAACCAACTCCTAACACTATCCAAAGACAGAGTCCTTGAAAAATGGCAATCAAGCCGAGCGCTGTGACTCAGCCTGTAATCCCAGTACTTTGGGAGGCCGAGGTGAGAGAATTGCCTGAGCCTGGGGATTCGAGATAAGCCTAGGCAACTTGGTAAGACTTCGTCTCTATAATAAATCACAAAAACTAGCAGGGCGTGGTGGTGTGGATCCGTAGTTCCAGCTACTTGGAAGGATCACCTGAGCCCAGCAGGTTGAGGCTGTGGTGGCCGGGAGCGTGCCACTGCACTCCAGCCTGGGCGACAAGAGTGAGACTCCAACTCAAAAAAAAAAAAAAAAGAAAGAAAAATGGCAGTCAATCACTACTGAAACATACCTGAATGAGAGTGAGCTTCCTAATGTAATAGGTGATCCTTCTCATTCTAGCAGGCTCTGAAGGAAGTAGTTCCAAACTACATACATAGCTACTCTGATTTTGCTTTCCTGTAGAAAACTACAAGTCTATTCTCTAAACAATAGTTTTCAACTTCATAAAACAACTTTCGGATCTTTTGTTTTTCTGCTTACTCAAGGGTATATTTTTCACCATTTTCACCTACTCCTTAAATAATGACAGTTCAACATCTATTCCCCTCGTAATGACAGTTATTCAACAATACAGCCCATTCTCAGCAAAAGCAAAAACATTTACAGTTTTATACTTCCTTTTTTGATAAAGTCTCTTTCTATGAATAATAATTCTATGATCATTATTATACAGCTAGCTCCACATGCATTCTGCTCTGGGCTTCCCGCAGCCTTCTGCTCCCCTCCAACCCCCAAGGACCTGAATCTCTGACTAAAATGTTCATTTATTTGTTTGGAGTTATATATTGCTCCTGCATGAAATTTAAGTCCATTTTTCCCTTCAGACAATCATCTTAAAAGTCACCTAGGGAAGGTCAATTTCTTGTTCTTTTAGAAATCACCACACTGTTTTCCATAGAGACTGAACTAGCTTTCATTACCACCAGAAATGTGGAAGCGTTTCCTTTTCTCCACATCTTTGCCAGCAACTGGTGTTGTTTTATTAATGATGGCCATTCTTACTGGGGTTAAGTGTTACCTCAATGTGGTTTTGATCTCCATTTCTCTGATGATTAGTGAGACTGAGTACTTTTTCATGTGTCTGTTGGCTGCCTGTATGCCTTCTTTTGAGAAGTGTCTATTTATGTCTTCTGGCCACTAATTAATGAGGTTGTTAGCTTTTTTCCTTTTGGCACATCTGAGTTCCTTGTAGATTCTGGACATTAGGCCTTTGTCAGATATACAGTTGCCTAATACTTTTCCCCATTCTGTGGGCCATCTCCTCACTTCTCTTGATGGTTTCTTTTGCTTTGCAGGAGCTTTTCAGTTTAAGGAGTCCCACTTGTCTATCTTATCTCTTATGCATGGACATCTGGGGTTTTGATCAGGAATCGGTTACCTATTTCAATTCCCATAAGGGTGTCTCCTGCATTTTCTAAGATTATTATAGTTGGAGGTTTTATGTTTAGGTCTTTGATCCACTTAGAGTTCTTTGTGTACAGTAATAGGTAGGGGTCCTATTTCAATCTTCTGCATGTGGTCAGCCAGTTTCCCCAGCACCATTTACTGAATAGGTTCTTCTCTTCCCAGTGGTTGATGGTGGAGACTGTCGAAGATGAGCTGGTTGAGAAATTGAGGTTTTGCTTCCAGAGTCTCTATCCTGTTCTATTGGTCTATATACCTATTCTTGTACCAATACCAGGCTGTTTTGACCCAGGGACCCTGCTACTGTGAATAAACCTATAGGAATTCAAATCATTCTACAAAAAACACACCTGCACATGCATGTTTACTGCCGCACTATTCACAATAGCAAAATCATGGAACTAACTGTGTTGCCCATCAAAACTGGACTGGATAAGAAAAATGTGACACATATACATGATGGAACATTATGTAGCCATAAAGGACAAACTTATAAACTTGGCAGCAACTTGGATGGATTTAGAGTCTATAATACTCAGTGATCTATCACAGAAACACAGAACTGAGTATCACATGTTCCCACTCATAAGCAGACCCTGAACATTTACCATAATACCATAAGAAAGGGATTGGCAGCAGCTGGAAACTGCCTGGGAGTGAAGGGCACATAATATCAATAAGGGTAACTGATCTCAAACCCGGCAAAGTGGGGACCAAAGGGAGGCCCAAACTTTACTGTATGATGTATACCTAGTCCTGAACTGTACTCATCATTAAAACAAAAATAAAAATATTTCTTAAACCACCTAACTTCTACACCCAAAAACCTGACTGGGCTTTTCTTAGACCTGTAACTCACTCAGAGTTCCACAACCAGCACACTGTAGTACTTGCCAGGTATTTCCAACAGGTATGCCCAAGATAGTGTCCTCTCAGTGCCCCCTCAGGTGATCCCTTTACTCCAGTGCACAAACAGTTATACAATACTGTATAAAACTATACAGACATGATTTCTTACATGCATAATCAAAACTGATGATCAAACAGTTAGAAGAACATCCTTTAGGGAAATATCAATTTTGTGCAACCCCAACATCCTTTGCCCATCATCACATACCTATAAACAGAGCTTTTCTAAAAGGTGCTTCTTTCCAACTACCTACTCTGAATCAGCAGTCCTAGAGAATCTCAAGCATCTGCTGCAAGACTTAAGATGATTATGCTTTTAAAACTTAAAAGGGTTCATTCTTTACTAAAATAATCCAAAGGTATGGAAAAAAAGATACAAGACAACATTCTCAGTCACTTTTCAATGTATTATCTAAGTGGGCAGGCCCAAATGCTACCACTTTATACGAGCCAATGAACCTAGTCAACCCCTCTGCCTGCTTTCTTCTTATAGTAGCACCAAAATAAGGGACAAACTCAAGAAATGAGAGCTAAGAATTACACAAAAATTGATTACACTGAACAACAGTAACATTGACAATTAGTGACAATTTTTAAATATGGATAAGTTGCTACTCTCTTACTCTCAAGAAAGTGAATAAAGCAGACTTCCATCTTAAGTGTTCTTAATTACAAATGTAATAAGAAGACAAGAATAAGAGGGCAAAATGAAGAAGTTTAATAATAATTTGATAAATTTAACAGAACCTTTTCATGTTTTGATTAACTTGTATAAGTGATCCCATTTCAAATGCATGATGAATTTATTTTAGTTCAGATGAAACACTATGAGGGCATTATTTACTATTTTCAATATGAAATGTTCTGCTTTCTTAAAGTTATGCTGTTCAAAGTACCCAGTTTACTGACAAAATCTACTGACAATATAGCCCAAAACCAAGTCTTGCAGTCATTCAATTACTGCCCACCTGCCAGGTACTGGGTTCAGCACTAGGAATATACTAGTGTAAAGAAAAATAGCACCTGCTCTCATGGTACAATAGTCTAACTGGAAAGACGTACATTAAGCAACTTATGCTCAGCTCCACAAAAGATGTATAGAAAATAACAGGGAATAATGAGAGCATAGAATTATAAGACTGAACTTAATTAGAAAATGTTTCTCTTTTCTCTAGGGATTCAAATAATGTATCTGTAATATTTACATGCAGTATTTACCCTTAATAACTACAAGCACTTTAAAATAAAAAACAGAAAAAGAAAGCCCTATTGATGTCAGTATAAAAGAATTAACAAGCTATATTATTTACAAGTATTTCTCTAATCATTTCAAACAGAAAAGTAATAAATGCAGCTTACCATTTTCTTCCACTGTCATTGGAATATTAATTTCTAAATATGAGCCAGCTCCTACATTCACATGTACAGCATTTGTTTCCTACCAAAAGAAAAAAATTAATTCCTATAAAACATTTCTTATAATTACACTCCCATCATCTTTACTTCTCAATTATCATAGAAGAAATATAATTACTGACATTAAATAGGTATTAAAAGTTCCTGAGAACAAAAGTTCAAATTTTTACCAAAATTACACTAAACAATAAAGGAGAAAATGAAGCAGAATATAACATGAAAGTCTATACTATTAATTTCTTTCCATTATTTGGCACTTAATAAAATTAATCATGAAAGTAGCATACATACACTTATTTAAAGGGGAAAAGTTTATAGAAATGAATCCAACTATAGGACTAGTCACCAGAAAAAAAAACTCTGGGAAATAATGTTCAATTTTTTTTTTTTTTTGAGCCAGAGTCTCACTCTGTCGCCCAGGCTGGAGTGCAGTAGCATGCTCATGGCTACCGCAACCTCAACCTGCTAGGCTCAAGTGATCCTTCTGCCTCAGCCTTCCAAGTAGCTGGAATCACAGACATACGCCACCACGCCCAGCTAATTTTTTTATTTATTGTTGAGATGAGGTCTTGCCAAGTTGCCCAGGCTGGTCTCAAACCCGTGGGCTCAGGCAATCCTCTCACCTCAGCGTACCAAAGTGCTGGAATTATAAGCATGAGTCACAGCTCCCGGCCAATGTTCAAATTTTAAACACTATTTTCTATTATACTATTACAATAATTACCCTATTTTTGGTAAACAGCAAGTCAATTGTTGCATCTGCAATAATATTCATTCGTAGTTCAAAAGCAAGAATCTGTCTTGGTCTCCCAGACTGCGCAATTTCAGAAACTTTCAGAACTTGATAATCAGGTGGAAAGAAAAATTTCCATAAACAATCTCTATATAAGGGGATAGAAAGAATAATGACATGTTATCCAAATAAAATTACTTCTAATAAGGGACCAAAGTCAGTTTTCCAACTTCCAACAGGGAGCTGTTATCATTTTGAGCACTTAATAAAATATTATCAAATGAAAAATAGAGGTAAGACCTAATCTGCACTATTCAAGTATACTATGAGAAATTAAAGTCTCTCTACAAGTCAGTCAACTATACAAATAGCAAACAAGAAACTAACAAAGGATAGCTTAATTAGAATCATCATCCCATGCTCAACAAGTTACTGAAGCTTTTTGAGTAAACTTGAAATGCTTCCTCTTCTGTAACAAAGGAATAACATAACCTGTCTCAGAGTGGTTTTGAGGATTAAATGTCAACATGTATGTAAAAGACTTAGCAGTGCATGGTACACGGAAGAAGTGGCTATTGTTTTTATTATTTTCATAATCATTTTGAATCAACATATCAATAAAAGACTAAAGAGTAATCAATTTCTAAAAAGTAAATAGGTATTTGGAAGCTAAAGTACAAATATATTTGGCCCCCATCATTTAACAAAGGTGAAAGAACCTAAGAAATTTTCAATTGAGTCTTCTATATGAACCAACAGTATTGTATAATGTCACTCATCCATTCAAGAGAAAGTGCCATTTTCTACTTTATTTAAACAGGAAAAGGTGAGTCTTTTTATTTAAACAGGAAAAGGTCAGTGACAGAAAACACAACTTAGCATAAATAGGACCGGGAAGAATTAGATGAACAGAAAAAAATTTGCAAACTGAGTCTCATAGACTATAACTTGCAAACATTAAGTGTAAGAAAAGAAAATAAAGTTCTATAAATGTTTGACTAAGATACACAAATATATAAAATTAAGAATATAAAGGACAGAGAATTCAGTCCAATCATCAGATATCATGGACTAGGGAGGTAGCTAGCAGGAACTACCTTGCTCAAATCACTGAACTTCTCTGCATCTCTATTTTCTCACAAATATAATGAGTTCATTACAATTGTCCTATGTATCTCACTGGGTTATAAGGATCAAGTGGGAAAACAGAAATGAAAGCACTTTAAGTGAAAGCCATAATATGCAAGATAATGTCAGGAATATTTGTATTACTATTACGTATCATGTAAGAATTAAGTTTTATTGTAACAGAATTTGTATTTCAACTCAGTCACAAAAACTTATATGAAGAAAGTATCATGAAGGGAAAGCTGAATAATATCTTACATATTCAGACAATCACATAAAGGTAGTAAAACTGACATCAAAATCTAGAAGTAAAAATCACGCTATGATTTTTAAAATCTATATGCTGAAGTCATGCTAGTCAGATATTATTAATTCCTCACAATCCTGAGTGAACTATCCAACAACATAACAGCTGAGATTTTTTTCCCCATGTTTCTTATATTAATAGATGACTACTAAGAAACTGACTTTACTATTCACTGATGATTATAGTTCATATTTGTGCAGAAACTCAATAAGGGGAAGAAGAAAAGGAAGTGGCTACATAAGACCACTTGAACATCTAAGTGAAGAGACAACTATTACTCACATTAATGAATTAAGTATGCATGAAAAATAAATCTTTCCTCTTTATTCTTTTTTTTAGATAAAACTTAGCGGTTTTTAAGACCAGGTTAAGAAATGTATCACTATTCTTTTCTGGCAGAAGAATCTACTGAAGGGAGCTGTTAAAGCAAATTTCTATTTCACATTAACTTCAGTGTCATGTCTCTGTATAATACAAAGATCACCCCCAAAGTAAATATGAATTTTAGTTTGGGCTTTTATATAAGCATACCCTAAAACTTTAAAAAATAGGTAATAAAATTAAATATAGTTTAAGAAGATTCATACTTTATTCAAGTACTAAAAATGCAACAATAATTTTATGTGCCTGTGTTAACACAGTTTTAATTTTTCCTTCAAACAATATGTGACTGTTAGTGATCAAAAACAAACAAATTTTTCTTGAGATTTATGATTATAGTTGAAATAGATGTGGCTCTATTACTTAATGAATTGTAAATCCTCATTTCCAACTGTTGTATGTCAGATACAGTATGACTTATCGCAGGAAAAATTTTTCCACAAAAGGAAAATTAAAATCCAGTAAGGTAAAATGTATCTGCTTTCTAACCTGAAATTTTAAGTTATGTTTACTTTCATTTAATAATTGAACTCAGAACCTAGTGAGGTACTGTTTTGGCATAATGCAAGAGTTTTCAAATAATAAACTTATCATTTACCATACAACTAACTGTTAATTTGCTAAATATTGAAGCAGGTATTCCTAAATACTAGGTACCAAGATTAATAGAACATACGACTTGACAAAGTACATAATTACTCTAATGATGCTAGGTAGGTAGCACTTTTTAAAATTAAAATAGGGTCAACACATCAAAGAGTCAATATCAGTGCTCTTTCATTAATCCATCAATGGCGCGGTAACATCTGCCTTAGTGAATGACTTGGCTTGTATTTCTCTCTTCAAAAAAAGCTTGTTTGTAAGTAGAAAAACTAAGCTAACTTTAAGCAATGTCTACTTACATAAAAACTTACATGCTCTCTCACAATTACTGGTAAATGTCCTCTCCTTTGTTTGAAGTTCATCAGTAAGTAGAAAAATGTTCATAATATATTGAAAACAAAAATTACTTTAAAAGTAATAAAATGACTAATAGATACTCCCATGACCTCCAGTATAAAATCCATACTTATTCATGCATAATTACTACAGAACTCTTCTCTTAATTACCTACAGGACGATTATCCAATGTCCTCTGCATTTGCCTCTATTATTCAACACCCACTTCTTTCCCTGGCTAACTCTTACTTATCTCTCAGAAATCAACTCATCAACATTTTACCTCAACCACAAAGCCTACCCTATTTCTTCTCTCCCTAAACTTTAATAAAAATTATGTACCTGTAATAGACTGAATTATGTCCTAAAAACTCATATTTTGAAATCCTAACCCCCAGTACTCAGAATGTGAATGTATTTGGAGATGGGAATCTTTAGAGCAATAACTGAGTTAAAATGAGGTCATTAGGGTCTGATATCCTAATCCAGTATGACTGGATAATGTGGTTTGGACACAGAGGTGTACCCAGAGAAGACCATGTGAAGACACAGGGAGAAAACAGCCATCCACAAGTCAAGGAGACAGGCCTGGAACACATTCTTCACTCGTGGCCCTCAGAAGTAACCAACCATGCCAACCCCTTGATATCTGGCTTCTCATCTCCAAAACTGTGAGAAAATAAGTTGTTTAAGCCACATTGTCCATGATACTTTATGGCAGCCCTAACAAACTAGTACAGTGCTTTTCTAAGTTCTTCATCAAGACTCTTTACTTACCTCTATTATAACACTTAATAGCATTTTTTGTTGTTTTCTCTCTCACGAAAACTGAACTACATATGTCTTATTTCTGAATTCCCTTAGCTTCAACAATCTCTGGCATATAGTAGGGGATCAATAAGGAAATCACTGTTGGGTAAATGCAAAAGAAAACAAATATGCTGCTCATTCGCTGTCTTTCTGATGAATTAGCTACATCTTTGGAGCAAACTTGCTTATTATGGTTTTTCCACAAGCAAGTCATTATTTGGATCAAAATGTTTCATGACATTTTATTCAGTCATAATAAAATATTTTATAAAAATATTAAGCTAGTTTTAATTAAAATACGAGTATTCTTCAATACATTTGAAAGGCTTATAGAAATGGAATTTATTCAAGTACCTCTGCCTATCGGCCCATGGTCCATAATTAAAATCTGTTCCTTTACCACAGACTATATCCAGTCCCCAACATGGAGGCAAGTCTTGTAATTTGCAATCCTCACCGCTCATTTCTCCTTCAATGTTTTCTTCTGTTTCTTCTGGAACAAGTCCTATATTCCAGAACACACAATATAAAGGCAATTATTTTAAATGACCATTAAAAGTTCCTTTAGATTAGCAGCTAAAATTTTTTGTTCTCAGGAAACCTTTACACTCTTAAAAATCATTGAGGACACCAAAGGGAGTTGTTGTTTTGGGGAGTCTTTTTTGGTATAATATCTATTAAAAATTGCTGTGTTTAAAATTAAAATTTAGCAATTTTTAAAAATATTCTTTATTTTTAAGATAAACTCACATATTGACATAAAATATTTAATAAAATGTAATGAAACTATAAAAAATGGAATATATTCTTAAAACAAAACAGTGAAAAGTGTTGGTATTTTTTTTTCCTTTGGCAAATCTCTTTAATGTCTAGCTTAAAGAAAAACAGATGAAATCTCATAGCTACTTCTGCATTCAATCTGTTATTGAAGAATTTGAAGACAATCTGGCCTCATACAGATGTGTAAATAGAAAATACTTTAATAGCTTTTTCAGATAATTTTGGATATTCTTCTTTGATACTATATAAAAATTCAACAAGTAGTAGTTTCTTAAAAGTTAGTTGCAATATGGATTCTGAAACCATACCACTGAACTTTTCATATCCTGTTATGTTAAAATCTACTGGTCTTGTTTGCATTTTGAATAAATCTTTTAGCCACACATGACTTTGTAACATCATGTATTGGTCATTTGGCAAATATTGGTTCACTGAGTGATGCAGATTTTTTTCTAAATGTTGGCCAATTTCATTATCAAACTACTTTTTTTTTTTTTGAGTAGGAGTCTCACTCTGTCACCCAGACTGGAATGCAGTGGCACACTCACAGTTACCACAGCCTCGACCTACTGGGCTCAGGTGATCCTTCCACCTCAGCCTCTCAAGTAGCTGGGACCACAGACATGCGCCACCACGCCTGGCTAATTTTTTGATTTATTGTAGTGGCCCAGGCTGGTTTCAAACTCCTGGACTCAGGCAATCCTCTTGCCTCCGCCTCCCAAAGTGCTGGAATTACAAGCATTGAGCTACCATGCCCAATTATTATTAAACATTTTAAAATCATATTTATTCTATCACTGGTGGTCTCATTATAAAAGCTGTTAATTATTGGGGTGCTGTCACGCTCACAGTGACAGACTCAAATTTACCAAAATTCTAGATTTCATAAGAAACTTTAAAAGCATAATTTTTCTCTAATTATTCATTCAAAAAAATCTGGTGCTCCATAAAAAAAAAAAAAAACAAATAGTTCCACTTGAAACTCAATCACACAAGTGCATTTCCTCAAGACACAGGATACTCTGGTATGCAGCAAAAGGGCTTTTTTCCCATTCTGTCACACCAAATACTAAAAACAAGAATCAATAATTGAAAAAACTAATAATTTTTACTGTTTAATCAAGGACATTTTTATGTGATAATGACATTTTTGCATTATTGTCAATGTGTGGCAGTCAAAAAATACAATGACTTCTAGCATAATTAGGATCACTACCTTGAAAGCAATTTTACTCACTATTGCTTTTGTACCATTACTGCAAGCATCAACATGATGACAAGGCAAATAACATCCTAGTTTTACTTTTCACATACTTTGACTTTGCAACCCCCTGAAAGGCATAAAAGGAGCAGAACTATTTTTTAAAAGAGTTAAAAATCCAACCTTTATAAAATGAAAGCCATATTACAACTAGGTATATTTTAATCTTTGAGCTTAAGCCTCAAATCTAACATACTGATTTTTTTTTTTCTAAACTAAGATGAACTACCTCAACTATTGTCACATTCTCTAAAGGTTTTCACTCATGGTCATTTGCATTCTCAATTTTATAGGTATATCTGTGAAAATGAAATCTCAAAAAATATTACTATGCTGTTCTCTTTTAGTCTAAAATGCTAAACTAATACTCAGGTTTTGAAAAATGACAGATTTTTCCATGTAGACATTCTCATATCCACATTTACAATTTGCTGATACTTATTTATATCTTAAGTAAGAAAATTTGAAATATTATGTAACAATACCTGGCTCATCCATGTAATAGTAGATGTCAACATCATTTGACTGCATCACCACAAAACCTTCTCCCATTAATCTTGGTGGTCTATAAGAAGTTAGGGGGAAAGCACACTAAGTAAATCTCAAGAGTATAAAATGTTCAGTATCCTATTAATGGTGACAATAGGTAAAAATAAAAACAAAAAAATGAAAAAGCACATAGCAAGTAGCTCCTTAAAAAGAGAAAAACACCTTTCACATAAACAACAATCCTAAAAAATTGTCCCTTAGTTCTATTCTATATTAAGTAAATAGTAAAATGGTACTGAGAATATATCAGTAAATTTGTTCAAGAAAAACAATTCTGGTTTTATATTTTAAGTTTTCAGTTTTGAATGGGGGAAACTAAAAACAACAGAATGATGATGACTGGAATAGAATAATCATTCTGCATTTACAACAAAATTAACATTAAAATGCAACCATTTTACATTAATAACACAAAAACTAGTAAACATAATTTTATCTATATGTATAAGTATAATCACTTGGACATTAAAAAAGAAAATATGTTGTCATGTTTATCTCTAAAAACTTTACATTACCTATTTCCAAGATCATTTAGTTAATCCACTTGAAATAAATTTAGAGCAAACATCTTGAACTATAACTCTGGAATGAATGCTTTCCTACCATCAAATAATTTCCCACAAACTATTAATGTTTACTTGCTCTGATTTAGCATCTTCTCTCTTTGTCATACATCACAATATCTTCTTCCATACCAAAATTAACTTCTCAATCATTAGATAATATATCATACACAGCCAACTTCTTCTAAATATGTATTAAATCAGAAATCACAAAGGTAATGTTTAACTTCATCATCTAACTTCCACATTTTGAAACAAAATATCACCTGTGATGTATATTTCCTAACATATAAACAGAGCCTAATTGCCCGAAATAAGTTTCCAAAAAATGATGGAGAAAACAGTAGAAAAATTATAGTTAAAATCATACAGAAAAATATTTACAATTAAGAGCTGATTCCTGGATAGTATATCCTTTTATCCAATAAAGTCTACATTGTTAACTGCTTTAAAAGACAGAGAAAATACCAAATTATTGCACAACATGCAGCAAAGAAATTAAAAGGATGCTAAAGGTTCTAGAAGTTATCTATTAGTTTTATAAAATTTTCTTACTCATCGTTTTGAAGACCAACATATCTTGGGCTAGGAACAAGCATGACTCGAACATTTTCAAGCTTTCCTTTCACGATATGCATGAATTGGTCAAGATGACTTGAAGGAGGTTTTGTAGTATAAGTTAAGAAAGCGTCATCAAAGTTGATGCACAGAGTTTGAGGCTGGTAATGATTTCCAAAGGCCAAACGTCCCTAAAAAAAAATAAGAGATATTATACCATGCTATTCCAGACGTAATTTTTTTCCTTAGCTGACCTAATAGCAAACATTTGCAAGAAACAGCTACATGATTCAACTTTAGCACTATGTGCTATTTAAATGATTCCACTGGTCAATTTAGACCAGTATTTAAAGAAATTTAAAGTGTTTAAAGAAATTTAAATAGCCTTTGAGGTCTAATAAATTTGTCAGAAAACAGTACTGATGTTAAAATAATTATTTCACACGTTACAAAAATAGGAACTAAAAACTTCACAAAATTACTTTTCTTAGATGAAAACTATATTTGCAAAAATTAGGAGTTCTACATTAACCCACCAAACAGTAACTGTAGCAGAACTTACTTACTGTGCTCACATTGACCTTTATGACTGGAATAAGTGATCTCCATGAAGATGTGGGGTCTTGGGATTCTGTTTTTACTTGAACTCTGCCAAGAAAAAATAAAACTGACATGAATAAGAAAAACTTAAATACCTGAGGACACAGTTTACTTCCTTACAATACACATTATTAATACCAGCTGTACCTCTCCAAATACTCCTAATGACTACTCCAGTAAACAAAACAATGATCCTGTGAAGAAATACTAGTATTCCTACAAATGTCTCCTGGAATTCACTCTATCATATTAACTTTTAAAAAGACAAGTTATAATAACAAAACTATGTTTTTAGAAAGACAGGCTTTAATGACAAGACTATATAAAATACAATATGCTGTCATTAATCTACCATTTTTCCCATTACATTACCATATGACAATTTATAAGATAGACAAAGATGTTGTTAAAGCACAAATGAATACTATAAGAAAGAGACTGGCAATAGTGGGAAACTGCCAGAGGAGGGGGAGTGGGATTTGCAGTTGAGGGAAACTGCCAGAGGTGGGAAGGGCACACCTCATCAACAAGGGTACCTGCATAATGAACACTTGTATACCTAACCCTGAATTGTACCCCACATCTTTAAAACAAAAAAATAAAATAAAATAAACAAAGGATCAAAGTACAAGTCACTTTGATGTTTTCTACTATTTTAAGCACTTCTGAAAATAACATAGTTGGTCCTCTTCCTTCCCTCCTACCACTACCTTGTACCAAATCAATTTTCCCCTAATAAAATGAATATGGTAAGCCAAGAGTAAGAAAACTGGCTATACACAAAGCACACAAAGTTTAAGAAATGAAAATTTCACAGCTGTTCACTAAAAAAATAGACGATAAATAAATAAATAGGTGTGGCTAGTCCCAATAAAACTCCATTTACAAAAAGGCAGAGGACTAGATTTGTCCTATGGGTGTAAGTTTGCTGATTGATCCTGTTTTAGAATATTTCTTATGATAAGGTAGACATATATAGATATACAGATATATATATATACACACACACACACAGATATATAAACATTTTATATTGTTGCATAAAAGCAAATTACAGAACAATACATACTATATGAGATAACATATTTTAAAACATGCAAAATAAAATCATGCATTTGTATAGTATCTTAAATATGTATATGTATGTATATATTTGTGTACAAGAGGGGACCCAAAAAAACTGAATTATTTTTTGGAGGCAGGTCCGTTGTAGTATAGGCTTTTCCCACAAGTTAAGTGTTCTAGGCACCCATCAGCATCAGAGTACAAGCTACATTGTTGTGAGAGGCTGCATTCAGCTCCAATGAAATTTTTTTAGGAGAGTCCTTTAACATGGTTGCCTATTTCATGATGGATGATTTACCAGTGCAATTGCCTACAACATGCTGAGTGTTCAACAGTTTTTGACCAAAAACAGCATGACCCCCATGTCCCACCTCCCTATTCACCCGATCTCACCCCAAGCAACTTTTTTTCATTTCCCTGGATGAAAAAAGTCCTCAAAGGGAAATGTTTTGCCAAGGTGGAAGAGGTGAAACAAAAAACAGCAGAAGCACTAAAAGGTGTCAAAATTGACAAGTTCAAAAGCTGTTTTGGACAGTGGAAAAAGTATCTCAATAGGTGTATTGCACTTTGAAGGTGACTGAAGTTTCAAAATGTAAGAATAAAAACACAATTTTTTATATATAAATTCCAGTTTTTTGAGTGTCCTCCCTCATACATTCATTTAAAAGGATAAAAACCAAGATAAGATAACAGTAGCTATTAATACGGAAGGAAGTAGGACTGGTGAATAGGGGATGTATGTAGCTAAAAGGTTTAGTTAATTTACAAAGAACAATTAGGCTGTGTTTAGGTAAACAGCCTCAATGATATTCTAATAAAGGCAAATGGTTACATGCTAGAGATTTTTAAAAATTCCACTATGACACCAAACCTTTCAATTTTGGACTGGGTTCTTGTTCTTCCATTTTCTCGTGTTTTTTCATCCTCTTTCTTGGGTGGAATTATTGTTGGCTCCAAACCAAACAATTCTTGAAGGTGTCCATAAAGATCCGAACGATTATACACATGAAATTCAAAGTCATTGACTGTGATGTATAACCTGGTTTCTGCCTTTGGATCTTAAAACATCAATTACAAAAAAAAAGGTTTTAGTCAACTTTGTAATAACTTTAGTCAAAGTTTTTAGTCAAATCTTTTTTCACGGTTATAGTAACTAAAAACTTTATAATTGAATTCTATGATATACAGAAGCATATTAAAATAAATACAAAACACTGGCAAAAGAAAAAAAAAAGCTGATGCTACTGTTGTTTTTAATTTAGCATTCTAAAAACAACCTGAATTTCTAGAATCCAGTTATATAGTGACAAGGTTTTTATGCTAAGAACAGTAAAGTGTCATTTACAAAGTAAAAGGAAAATTTTACCCTGATATAGCAATAACTTTATACAAAAATGTACATAGTAAAATGTTTAAAGTATCATGGACTTAAATATTACATTAGTATTTAAACTTTTACATAACAGAAACTAAACTTTTTCATAAACATTAATTTAAAAAAACTACATAATACTCAAAGGTTTTATCAACTATAAACTTCAATCTTCTCAAATAGAAAACAACTATATTAAGCATAAAAAGCAACAGTAATTATGAATCCATCTATAAAGTGATGGATGAGGCACTTGTTTCTACTGAGGAAATAATCTAAAACAGTACATCACATGACAACCAGAGTATCAGAAGAAAGGTATCCTTGTCAATGCCTTCTTTTGTTATCAAATGAAATCAACGGGCTTTCTGAGACCTTTCTTTTTCAACCATTATCCATTTTTATCTCCATGGAACAAACCTGACTAAAAACTAATTAAAATCAGATCTGACCAGTTGGAAAAACTTAATTTTTAAAAACGATTGAAGAATTGTTATTAACTTTCATTTTAGTAGCTTAAGCTGTGATTTAAATAAGAGTTACATATAACCTTCAGTAAGGTACCAATTTTTTACCAAAATTAGTAATTTCTGTGAGCTATTTATAAAGACAAGTGAAATGCTAAATATTCCAAAGGTAAACTTTAAACGAACAAATTACAAGTACATTGTCATTTATTTTACAAATAAACTAGGAAAAATGAATCAGCATCATTCATTTCTCACACAGCAATTAAAAAACTATGTTTAGGCCGGGCTAGGTGGCTCAGCCTATAATCCCAGCACTTTAAGAGGTCGAGACAAGTGGATTGCCTGAGTCCACGGGTTCGAGACCAGCCCGTGCAACTTGCAAGACCTCGTCTCTACAATAAATCAAAAATTAGCCGGACATGGTAGCACATGCCTGTAGTTCCAGCTACTTGGAAGGCTGAGGTGGAAGGATCCCCGGAGCCCAGGAGAAGGACGCTGAGGAGGCCGTGAGTGTGCCACTGCACTCCAGCCTAGGCGATGGAGTGAGACTCCAACTCAAAAAAAAAAAAATGCTTAGAAGCTGTAATTTTCCTAATTTCTATTATTTTTTAAATATTTTTATTTTTACAGATTTAGGAGGTACAAGTTTAGATTTCTTACATGCATATATAGTGCAGTGGTGGAATCTGTACTTTTAATGTACCCACCACCCAAACATGACCAAGTCCTCAAAAGAAGTGCAATAAGAACAAAAACAAATAGGACTTAACAGCTTCTGCACAGCAAAAACTTTCCTAAGTTTTTAAATAGTGATTTGGCCTATGCGCCCCATTTCTTCAGATTTATCACATGATTAGTAGCTAAAATAATCCCCAAGCTAATATATCAAGCATTTCATCCCTTTTCCTTGCCATAGTTTAAATTCTTAAAATTAAAATTAAAAGACTAGAAATGCACTTTGAAAAAATATGTAGGAAGTAGTCTAAGACTAGATAGTAGTAACTATGATTACCCAGTTTTAAACAAGTAATATCACTCACTAGAATTAAACCTTTCCTCAGTAATCATCTACAACCTCTCCTCAGACTGCCAGGGTCGAATATTTAGCAGCCTATTCAACATCTCCAATTTTATGTCTAAAAGGTTTCTCGCACTTAAAATATCCAACCAAAAATCTGATTTTCCCATCCAACCCTACTACACAGTATTTCCCAACCTACCTTTTCTACTGCTCAGGTCAAAAAACTTGACTCTCTTTTTTTTTTGAGTCCCAGAGATTATCAGCAAACCCTGTCCCTTTCCTTTCAAACTATATGCAGAACTCAATCACTTCTCACCACCCTGGCCCAAGTCACCATCATCTTCTACCTGTTTTATCACAATAGTTTCCTACCTTTGCCTCTGCCCTTATTACCCCTACACCTGTGCTTAACACAATGGTCAGATCTTTCTAAAACCTGAGATCATTTTCTTTCTCTCTGTTCCCAAATTTTCCAGTGGTTTCCCATCTCACTCAAAATAACATCACAGTCTTTTAAGAGACCTATAAAATCCTACAGTGCCTCCTCCTACCTCCTAATCTTCTGTTTTCCACCTGCTCCAAGTAAACTGACCTAATGGTGTTGGTAATGAAACAGGACAACCTTGTCCCCCAGATAATCACAACAGCTCATTCCCTTATTTGCTTGATGTTTCTGTTTAACTATCCTCTGTAATAAAACCTTTCCTGATTCCCTTTGTAAAACAGCATCCTCCCCATACAGCAGCACTCTCTATTCCACTTACCCTACTTTTTTCAGCACTGTATCTTCCTCATTCACTCCTTGATGCCACATATATATGTTTACTTGCTTATGAACTGAAACTCCCCCAAACTTTAATGAAGCAAATTATGTAAGGGACAGGACTTTTTTTACTCCCTGTTGTATCCCTGGTACCTAGAATACTGCTTAGTACATACAAAAGCTCATTTGCATAAAGATTAACAGAGCATATCACTACTGGTCATACTACTAAGTAAAACAAAATACCCACAAAGAGATTTTAGAATGTCTGAAAATCCAACATATGGAGCCATAATAAATCTAAAGGAGAATAATTTCTACTCCCAGTTAGATCCATACAAGTAGAAATTAATTATCATATAATTCTTCAAGGTCATAAACAACTCAATCAAAATTCACCTCAAACTTACTTATATGATTTGTTTTAAAAATTTATGTATTGAACAGTTTACTAATGATCCCTGAATACAAATGCTCTGATCATTAGGAATATGCTATAAAGGCTGGTCTGCCAGTTGAAGCAGCAGCAATGGAAAAAATTCAGAGCCTAAACTTATCTCTAATTAGATCAGTAGTGATGAACAAAAATGGTGACTATACAAAAATGAAAACAGAATTGCTCTCAAGTTCATCTCTAACTTGCTGGACATGCACAACAGCTTCTCTCCTTTCAATACAACAGATGTAATAAGAATATAGCTATATTAATTTGCTAAGGACACCATGGCAGAAAGGTATTAATCTCTAAATGTATGTTGACAACACTAATAAACACTCCATACCCAATAACAAAATACTGCAACACTCTCTATTCCACTACTCGGCTTGCTTGGGGGTTTTTTGCATTATTTATTATTTATTGTTGCCTCTCCAAATGATAAACTTCACTAAAGAGTTTTTCCTTGTGTTCAGTGTTCTGGTGCCTAAAACAGTGCCTGGTACATAGGACAAATTCAATAAATATTTGTTAAATCATTAAATAATAGGTTTTAATTTTAAATAAGAATGAATAAAATACCCACTCTTTTCCATCCAAAAATTACTTTAGAAAAGCACTGAACACAGAGCAAGTCTACCAGAATTTAAAGAGAACCATTTGGTTTCATATTTTATTTTATTTTATTTTTTATTTATTAAGACAAGGTTTTGCTATTTTATTGGTTGATCAATTGACTGACTGATTGGGACAAGGTCTCACTACATTGCTCAGACTGGTCTCAAACTCCTGGGCCCAAGCAACCCTCCCGCCTTAGTCTTCCAACATGTTGAGGTTACACATGTATACCACCACTCCCAGCCTGATTAAAAGAGGAATGTTCACATCCCACCATGTTTCTGTTTGTTTCACCTGCATTAATAATATTCCAGCCAGAAAGCTGTGTGACTAAACAATAAATATTAAATTAAGGCCTGGCTGACCTTCAAGCTTACATGACCTGTATTTCCTCCAAGGCCTCTGCCCAGGATCTTTCTGTGAATATTCCCAGGCTTCTGCCATCCCCAGGAGTATTCCATGTGGCAAAACTCTATTCCCCCACCTATACTCCAACATATACAAACAGATGCAAAGAGACAGGTTGCCAAAGACACAGGGAAAAGCACACATATACAGAGGTGTATATACACACAGAGAAATAGGCCTCGCACATACATATACTCAGGCACACAGACACAGGAACATTCACAAAGACAAGTATACATACACATACTTTCACAGAGCCACGCATGTATACATACTCACAGTATCCCCCTCAGAGATGAGCACAAACACAGAGGCTACATGCAAAAGTACCCCACACACAGACAGGGGCACAATCCCAAATCAACAGGGGCATATCCCCACAGAGAGCGTGTCCCCTCACAAACCAACAATATCTCTCCAAAAGAAAAATAGGCACTTTTTCCAAAGGCATCTACCTCCCACATATAGACATGCACACATTTTCCTACCAGACTAATGTATTTACTTTACACACACACACACACACACACACACACACACACACACACACACACACACACACACCCCCCTTCTTTAAAAATAAATAAATAAAGTTTAGGACTGCTTCACTGGATTCTACAGGAACTGGACAAAAGAAGTAAACAGTAGAAATAGAATGTAGGATTGGATCCCTATAATATCACTTACTGATGTTGTGACTTAAGGCAAGAGTCTCAACCACTCTGACTCATTTATTTTTTTAGAGAAAACCTCTACTTATCTTTAGGATTCCTGTACAAAATAAATACTAGTTTCCTTCTATTTGCAACTCAAATTCTTAATAGTCATATAAATTAAATAATGTATTTGTTTTCACATTATCCTTTTTAGGCAGTCTTTCATTTCAGAATGTGATAAAATAGAATAATAAAAGAAGATCACCTCTAATGAACTCTTGCTGTATTCCAGGCACTGTTCTCGGCACTCTAGT